CTTATGGCTCCCAATACCTGTATATATAGTCCTCCTTTTAGCACTCTACATAGCTCTTCACTTGTAGATTCTAAGTACACAATCGGAGTCCTGTTTATACCCTTTTGGTCACACCTAGGAATAAAATAAATAATAGATATATTTATACAACTGGGAGGGATCACAAGCAGGGAATAGGCCGGATAGTATCAGTACTACAGTTAGGGTATAGTTTGTACAGAACTGAACTCATACTATTGCCATGGTGGTATAAGGGTGGTTCTTTATAGATTTCAGTACAAACTAACTAATAAAGAACAAAGGATATGAAAGGATACTCTGTATCCTTTCACATCCACGCTTTTCCGGCTAGTCCCCGGAAGGGGATTAGTCTCTACGCGGTGACAGTTGTTCTCTTGAGTATGCATGATATGAATTTGTGTGAAAGATAGAGAAATGTCTGAAGGGAGGAAGAGAGAATTTGGTGGATAGGAATCATTGGGGGATGGGTAGAGAGAGCTTGGACCCTCAAAATTACAGACAGGGGTCTTAGTTTAGTTTAGTTTAGGAAATTTAACCATTTTTTGGGAAAGCCACAGCACGGAATAAAGTTTCCCCGAAGAGAACTAATCACACACCCTGACTTATATATCAAGATGGTGTTCAACGACTTGATCCAGAAGGTCAAATCAAAGATTACCAAAACCACCAACACTAGCACCACTCCCACCACCACTCCCATTGCCCCAAAATTTAATTTAGTTGTTACCCCTCCTATTGAAACTCAAAAAGCTCTCCCAGCCCTACCTAGAAGATCATCCACCTTCTCTTTAAGCTCGAAAGGTCTAACTGAAGAGCAACGATTCGCCCGGCATTGCGCAGGCTTTGATCGATTTGAAGATAAGCCCAACGAGATCGACAATCCCTTCTCCGACGCCGCGAGGATTCCCGACAAAGACAACGCGCAAAAAAAGTAAGATCGATCTTCAACCGCCGCAATGCTTATCAAGTACGTACCATCTCTCTATTAAAGTCTCCTCTCCATACGCACGAAGCTTTCATACTTACCAATTTGCAGAGTTCGAACTTTAACTGGCAAGGAGATCGAATTGGATGTTGAGGCCGACAACAAGGTACGTTTACGTCGCGACATCCCACCTCCCTTCTACAATCCAACTAATATTCTTTTCAATTACAGATTGAGCGTGTGAAGGAAAAGGTCGAGGAGAAAGAGGGCATTCCACCCGTTCAACAACGCCTGATCTACGGTGGCAAGCAGATGTACGTTCGATCTTACTACCCCTCCTTACCTTTCTTACAACAAACATACCATACTCCGCAAGATAACAAACATACTAACACCTCACCTCCACCCAGGGCCGACGACAAGCTAGTCAAAGATTACGAGCTCGAACCCGGAGCCACCCTCCATCTCGTCCTTGCTCTCCGCGGAGGCTCTTTCTAAACAATTTCGTCTCACCTTCGTCTTCTTCACACCTCGTCCTACCGCCTCCCCAAATACCCCGCACCCTTCGTACTTTCACGATTTTTATCAGCATTAGATGACACCTGCAAGTTTTCATTGGTTAGGCCTTTTCTCTTTTCACTTTTCACGACACGATGCGATGCGACATGACGAGATAGCAATGACGGGAGATGATTGGGCATTACATTGATGGACGATGCAAAATACGAATTATTCTAAAATGGGCGTTTTTGCGTGCATGCATATTCGATTTGGCTGTCTTGATATGGGCTTAGATTTTTCAATAGACCGCGCATTCTCAATAATGAAATTTTCATGATAAACACATCGGGTGACTTTCTACCACAATTTGTTTGTACACTTGTGAACTTAGGTATTATGCGAGAAGAAAGGTTGAATGTGAATGGTTTGAAGTTACCACGCTGACCTTATGCCATCTATCTACATAAAAAGTACATACCTCGCTTATACGTCGGTTTGATCACTAACCCATGAGTTTCTCGTGCTTGACAAAGCCTATTTGCAATGTTTACTAAGATCCCTATGCCTATGCTGCCTGCCTATGACCTCCCAATTGGTCCTGCCAAATGCCTCGCTTCCAACATATATTCCTATAGTAAATTTCGAAACCCAACCCGAGCCAACATATGGAATGGTAAATATACAAAATGGACATTGATTACCTTCTAGGTTTCTTGGGTCCACGATTGAAAACGTCGACTTCGGCAGGTCGTCTGCGAGCGGGCATCATGGGCTTTGGCGTGGCTGCACGGGATGGTGGTGCCGAACTTGTGCGAGATGATGCTGGAGAGAAAGAACTTTTCGAATTGTTGACTATACCGGAGATAACACCAGATGGCTTTGATATTGGCTTATTGGGCGGGGAAGAAGAACGAAGGCGACTTGATGGTGCAACTGGCTTGATGATCTTGCGAGACGGAGGTGGTGGGCGAGTTGCCCGGGGAACTGATCTGGCCTCTTCTGGCTCATCGAAAAGGTCGTCCGCATCGTTGCCGTATGTTTCGTCATCTGATGATCCAACATATGTCTCCTTGGGGGCACTGGGATCTGGCTTTTTGCTAACCATAGCAGCACGTAATTTCTTTTCACGATCTTCAAGTGAGAGTCCACTGGTGCCACCTGAAAGTCTGCTTGTTGTCTTGTGTCTCGCCAAGACCTTCAATGCAGGTTGATTGGCAATTTTGTATTCTTGGGCCATTCCAGCAGGTGCCCTTCCTACTTGACCGAGTCGCCCCGACAACATGCTTGTTGGTGTAACAAGCTTGCTTCTTTGAGTTATTTCCTTGGCTTCTCGACGTGCCCTCGTCAGCACACTTGCACCATCCGTCATCTTCGTTCTGCTCCCTCCACTCCAAGTCAAAGAATTGGGTGCAGACTTTTGAAGCCCTCTTCCCTTGGTCAAGGGAACACCTCCATTATTCGGCCGCATTCCATATTCTCTTGGGATCTTCGGTAGAGCTCGGAGCTCTACAAATTTGCTGAGATGATTTTGTTTGTGCTGCGCCAATGCATTCATCGAATTCTTGAGGTTTTCTCGGTCACGCAGAATTTCCACCTCCCGCTCGGATTTATATTTTAGGTACACTTCGTACCACTTGTTTGGGTTCTTTGGTATGTAATTCTTTGTTCGCCAGTTAGGAAACTCTCGGGCGATGAAGGCTTGCCAGAGCTCGGCATCTTCGCCCTTTATTTGTGGGGAATTCATCTCAATTATGTGCAACTGTTCGGGTTTTTTGACTGCCTTGAGGATGTCGCGGATTTGCATGTACTCGAAGTCTCCGATGTCAGTAAGACCTAAACATCGTTAGTGACACAATCATACTGAAAGGGATAGGCAAGCCTACTTGGAGCAGCTTTGATGCACTGCGCTTTGGCAGTGCTGAACAGAGACGGGGCACCGAGTTCTCCCATGTTTTCGGTTTGTATTAAAAGTAAGACTATGATATGATATGATGGGTACCTAGGTAGGTAATTCGGGATCTCCAACTGAACTGAAGAGGGTGACAGATTGCGCTTTTTGCGATACAGCACAGCAATTATTGTGGATGAATTGAATTTTGAGATTATAACTTTATAGAGGGTAAAATCTCGAAGCTGATTTATTTGAAGAGAAAGCGAATTAAAATTGTTGTAAAAAAAAGGTGAAAGTTGGTGAAAGTAAAAATTGTACTGTATTCTTGAGTTATCAACTTATCATGGACAAAGAAGAATGGGGTTTGAGGGTTTGGCTGGGGATATATATAACCCCGGACTACCGGTAAATAATCGTGCGCTAGCGGCCGCGGCAAATCACTCTACCTAGTACGTACTTAGTTAGGTAGGTAATGATTCAAGAGGCTAGAATTACTAGGTATCCTTGGCTCATAAAATATTCCGAATCGACCTCGCAATTAACAGAGAATAATTAACAAACGCAAACTCTCGAAATGGCGTCCTATCAACTATTAGATCAAAGAGAGGAAGACGAACTTCACAAAGCTCGCCTCCTTAATGTCGAAGAAAAACCCTTCAAGCGTATCACTAAGCGCCTACTCACCCCTGGGTCTCTCATCAATACACCAAGCAAACTTCCTACACCACCACCTGATAACACCCGAGAGGCAGCAGAAGTCGACCGCCAAAAGTCTCTCGATGAGCGTCGTCAGTTGCGCGAAGATGTGCTCCTCGATTTTGCCGCATTCGATAGCAGTATCGCGCGCATTCAATTTCTCCGCAATAGCAACGAACGCGAACGCGAGAGGTACAAGACTGATAAGGATCATATTCTGGAAACGGCACAAGCGGTGAGAGATAGTACTGCACAGTTGAGGACTCAATTGGACGAGGCGAAAAATACGTTGGAGCAAAGAAAGAAGTTTGATGAATTGGCCGAGAAGATTACGAATAATATGTTGTTGCGACCACGAAAGGATCAGGAAATTAATTTGAGGAAATTGGAAGACGAATGCAAGGAGTTGGAAAGAGAAAGCAGAACATATGGAGAGACATGGAAAGAGAGGAGAGAACAATTTGGTAGAATCGTTGAGGAAGGAATGCAATTGAGAAGGTTGATTAGGGATGAGAAAGAAGAGGTGGAGAGACGAGAAGGGATGGATGGTGGAGAGGAAGACGGTGAGGTTGGAGATGCTGGATCCAGAGGTGGACAGACTCCTAGACGCAATAGTGCAAGTGAGGATGCGACACCGAGACAGGGAAGCCCGGAAAGAGGTACACTCAAACCTAGACCTAAGCCTTCTGGGTCATTGTCAAGATCTGGTTCAAGATCCGGTTCAAGGGCTGGCTCAAGGTCTGGATCGAGAGGCAGATCGGCAAGTCGAATAGCATCTCCCACAAGTTCAGAGCGGGCTAGGAGTCGTAGACACAGGGATACGGAGAGTGATGAATTTACAATGGCAGACTCCGGTGCCAAACCTGTGGAGATAGATCTTCCAGCTGATACACCTATGGGGGATGGAATGGATTCAACACAAGAAGGAACGCCACAAGTCACAATCAATGAACCTGAGGAGGGAGCAGTGGACGAGGGAGAAGCTGGTGATCAGATGGATACCACATAGGTATCTGCACCACCAGTATTCCCATCATATGTACAACAAAATGTACCATAACATACCAAAGTGATACCCTCTAAGAGCTAGCATTCGTTCTGGTTCTGCAATATAAACCGTGCCTTTCACGACGTTCATCTTCTCTATCGTTCGTAAACCCTCGCAAAATCGGGTATATCCATCGTGAATCATGATTTCGTCACCCTCTAGCCTTAATCTCCACCAATAGCTTTCTTCGCTGCCGCAATAACCTCTTTGGCCTTATTCTCATCTCTCTCATCGCCCCCTCTGTGCAGTATGTCTTCCAACTTAACTACAGCATCTTCGAGTCGCTCTCGGAGCGGTGGGAAGACAGCTTTAGTTTCTTCGATTGCGGCGCGCTGGATTGTTGTTAGTTACCTAGTATTTATTTTCCCCCATATATGACAATGTGATCAGAAAGGGAAGACGAGATGCTAACCTCTTGCTTCAAAGAATACTCTCTGTTCTCATCTTCCTCCGTGGCTTCCTCTAATTTCTTCAATCGTGCCTGTTGAGAAACCAACTCTTTGTGGTATGATACTTCTTCCTTGACGAGACGGGTGACGCAGGATGAAGCTATGGAGAGTTGAGTTGGAGGCACCATTTTGAATATGACGTTATGGGGTTTGGAGTTTCGTTGAGGAATATGCTTGTGGTGAGTTGCTTGGTAGGAGGGACTGAAATTTGAGGGTTGACATAGGAGGGGCTGTTCACCGCTTTGGCAGAACAAAACAATCATACAACTCCTTGGGAGTTCTTCATCCCAAACATGAACAATATTTCATCAATGGGAGTACAAGCAATGATATTCCGGTGTTTCATTATATTTTGCACTTTATGGTTGCACAAATCTTGCTGTCTTTTGGTATCAGATCTTAGAAGTTATCGAAGATTTGATGTCATCTGAAAGGACTATCTAGTTCCCCTTCTGCGAAAGCAACCAAGTCCACTCCATATAGACCGCAACAGTCATTCTTTCATCTCATATCAAGAAGTAAGGACAATCTTTCCCACACTTGTGACTTCGGGGAAGATTGATACATACTCGAGTGGATATATGGACACATGTGGCTTTAAAATCCATTATTGTCGCACGAATCATTGATTGTTGGGGACGACCTCAAGATTCGGCTTGGAACTTGAGGCTCTAATAAGTTCTCCAAATAATATTCGTTCCCTTTACAAGGCAAGGTAGAGGCTTAGAGACAGGGGTAAGAGGCGAACAGCTTCGTTCTCAATTAATTGGCTGTTTGTACAAAATACTACATACATTACTATCAAAGTTGAAGAGCCAGTGCTCACATCTGATGACCATGAGAGACGTCAAAATGACAATAAATTATCAGCCGATGTCTTCCTATTCGGACCGATCAGGTGATCAGTCGTTAAAAAGGTACTTTGATATAAAGTACCTTCAATCATTTTATTGTACTTAGGTATGTACCTTCATTTCTGTGGTTCATGAGGCAGAACGTATGTTCAAGTTCTATGCGAGGTTCTATAGCTATAGTCGAACCAAACACCCTTTCTTACACATATTTTCGACGTTACTCGATACTCGAAGTGATAGATTATCGAAGTAAGATCAATCTAATATCGCTTTATAGAATTCTAATATTTATGGGACATTACGACTGCTTCCTGATACACAATAGGTTCTTCGACACATGTATCACATGCCGTTGCGTACCGGTAAACTCTCTTGTCCGCCAAATTTCCGATCATCAATCTGGGGCACAACTTGTATGTTTCAAATATGATAAAGATTAGAGGGTCGGGCCGGGGCGAGGATGATGTAGGAACTACCTCAAGAGGAGTCCTGCAGTCACAACGATTATCCCACCTGGTAATCTCCACGTATCAGAAAAAGGATATAAATCCAATATGTCTCAATGACCCTTCCGCTCTCTGCACCACACTCGCCCCTTGAAAATAGGGATCCCATGTCCCCAGTTACAACCACTAGGTTGGGTAAGTTGATTGTGGGGTTTGAAACCTTGGGGTAGCTTCATTCCCCGCAAAGTCCCATAATTTTGAAACATATTTATATTATTCACTGCCTTTCTATATGATCACTTGCAATCATTACTCTGCCAATAATTTTAGGTCATAGGTCGAGAGAAATTGGCATTTTTATATTCAACATAGGCTCATCTCGGCGCAATATGACTTCAATAATGAATGGATCTCTGTACATTTATATTCGCACTTCCTGCACTTGTTGGCCTTCGCAGTATCTTTACTCCAACACAACAACAAAATGCAACTTTACTCTACTGTTATTAGTGCCTTCGCGGCAATACTATTCTTGCCTTCTTCGACCTTTTGCGCACCAACGGTGAGCCAGGCAGCGACTCCGAAATATGTATTTGCGCACTTCATGGTCAGCTATCTCAACCTATCGTTCCCTGGTATCATTATTAACCATGTTCTAACAGGTCGGAATTGTTCAAGACTATAAACTTACAGACTGGAAGACGGACATGTCCTATGCACAAGAGATTGGTATTGACGCGTTCGCTCTAAACTGTGCAAGCATCGATAGTTATACACCCACTCAGCTTGCCCTCGCCTACCAAGCGGCCAAGGAAACTGGATTTCATGTCTTTATATCATTCGACTTTGCGTATTGGAACAATGGAAACACCAACAATATCACAGATTATATGAACCAATATGCATCTCATCCAGGACAAATGCAATACAATGGGGGAGCTGTTGTCAGTACCTTTGTGGGTGACAGTTTCAACTGGGCACCCGTCAAAGCTGGAACAAATCACACGCTTTTCGCGATTCCTATGATGCAAGATCCGATTGAAGCAACTTATCTACCGACATCATTCGATGGCGCTTTCTCTTGGCTGGCGTGGCCTACAGCTGGCGGAAATAGTATTATACCTGGCCCAATGACAACTATATGGGATGATGGATTCTTCTTATATCTTGCGGGAAAGCCTTACATGGCCCGTAAGTAGCCACTCTATCAAGATGAGAAAAATATATTGACTTTTCTATAGCTGTCTCTCCATGGTTTTCCACACATTTCAACTCTAAGAACTGGGTCTTCATATGCGAAGAACTCATCACCGATAGATGGAATCAAATGCTGACTATGAAACCCGCACTTGTCGAGATAATATCCTGGAATGGTAAGCATGTTTATCCTACGGGTATTGAAACAAGCTCATGGATACCACAGACTTTGGAGAATCTCACTACATCTCTCCCGCCGAACCAAATCATACTGATGATGGTTCATCACAGTGGACCAATGGTTTTCCTCACGATGGTTGGCGCATTATCTCCAAACCATACATTGCTGCATATAAAGCGGGCGCAAGTGCACCAACTGTCACACAAGATCAACTCGTATATTGGTATCGACCAACACCTAAAGGTACCACTTGCACAAACGACACCCTCGGACCTCCAAATGGTCTCCAGATGCTTGCCGACGACATATTCGTCACCACACTCCTCAAAAGTCCAGCAACTCTGATCGTGACCAGTGGAAATAATACTGCGGTGTCCGTCAATGTACCCGCTGGTATTGTCACCACAAATGTTACCATGGGTGTAGGGAATCAATATTTTCAGGTCGTGAGAAATGGCAGTGCCATTTTGAACGGATATGGTGGTTTAAATATTGTCAGTACTTGTGAAAAGTATAATTTCAATGCATATGTAGGATCTCTGAATGGGACAAGTAATGCCGGGCCACCACCACCCGTTACAACCACGTCGACTAGTATTCTACCAACATCGACTTCGACTTCCACATTATTAACCTCAACTACGACCACAACCAGTACAATCACCAGTGTTCCACCAACATCAACCTCAACCACAACATCGTCAACAACCTCAACATCGCCAACAACCACAACCACAACATCACGAACTACATCTACATCTACAATCACTTCATCCACTTCCACTTCAGCCTCATCCACCTCCACTTCCACTTCCTCTCCCTCCCCTTCTACAGTCTGTACCTCAGGCATAGGTCCAGGAAATTACATCGGCCTCTGCCAATTCTGCTGCAACTACGGATATTGTCCCCCTGGCCCATGCACATGTCTATCATACGGCACCCAGATTTCTCCGCCACCGATTACAAATCAAACGGGCTATCCGTTACAGGGAGAAGATGATAGTTATTTAGGTTTGTGTAGTTATAGCTGTAATCATGGTTATTGTCCCTCGACTGCTTGTCGCTTGAGTTAAGCGGTGCGGGCCTGGGGAGGGGGGAAAATGGAGGGGGGAGGGATGGGGATTAGGGGTGATAGGGTGATGGGAAGGAGAGTGGAGAGATCAGGGGTTTTAATTTGAAGATTTGAATTACTTTCATTGGATATAGTCTAGTGTGTTGCAATTCATATGAACTCACATGTAGACAATCAAATCAATTGATATATGTATACCTATGATATATGTATACCTATGAATACAATACCATAATTCCAAGCAAATATACTAATTCTATCCACAGATTATAACTCACCTCCTAATATTGCAACGAGTATTGTATTCCTACCTTTTAATCAAAACAGCTACCTCGGATAGAAGCACACCATTTCCTGGCTCTGTTGGCCCATCAAAATTGTCCTGGACAGAAGGTCTCACAAATGGAATTTATTTGTAGCATTTCTGGCAAACTTGTTGCGAGATCAGATCAGATTACCGAGTGAGTGTGATTCAAAACGTTACTGTTAATGAAATTTAAAGTTCTGAGCAGGCGAGAACATAAGCTTTGGGGTACGGTAAGTCACGATTAGGATCTGTGATCTGGAGTTACGTTTAAGGGTGCGAGATGTTGACCAAGTAATACCTACGTTTGGGGCAGAAGAAAATGTAATGAAAGGGGTGAGATGAGCTAAGCTATTGGATATCGTAGATATACCTAATGTGATGAGATTTGGGATGTAGATAATTGTAGAAGAGGTGACTGACTTTCGCCTCTACTTCCCTTTCTATAGCGGAACTCCGTTACATCCCAACTTCACTAAACCCGAGCCGTCAAGACTCTCTCCTGCCCCATCCGGCAAACATATATTGCCGTCCCGAGGAACGGTCCGCCCCGAACCGAGTGGAATACCGGTAGTCACGTGAATGATAAACGTCTAATTTCGATAAGATTCATGTAACTTGATGCAAGCTATTATTCCCTTTTGATAGTTGGCAAAATTAGAAAAGTATCTAATCATTCAAAGGGAAATTCCGGACATTCACCATAACCTATTCAATCATTTCACGTGCTATCGCGTCTCGAATAGATGGCATTGGTTCACGGAAGTCGCGTTGACCGCATTAATGGGTAGGGTAATCTTATTCATTAACTTTTGAACTTCGAAATACCAAAAATATTCCACCATTTTAGAAGAAGCGCTCGATCGAGTGTGTGATCCTTTAAAAACTTTACTTATCGGTCTTTCCCTTCAAGCTTGACTTCAAAGAATTCTACATTTGAACCTCGATATGACCAAGCTAGTCATAGTAACTTCACCTGAGCGGCTCAGGCGTGCTAGAGCTCTTCAGTCTAAACTTTTGGGACTCATTTGTAAGTAATCCATTGGTTAACTGACTGTCGATATTCATTTGTACCGTATCGTAATTACCCATACTAAAAAAATCCCAATTCAGCAGCAGCAAAGACAAACTTCTTCAGAATCGGAACACCTCAAGAAAGAAATCTCGGTTTCAAGTGGTTGTTTTCGATTACTGAATATGGCGGGTTTCCCAATGAGCCAGATGAAACAATTGAATTTTGTCCACTGCCGCAAAATATTGTTATAACATGGACTTTGAAAGATATCAATCGATGCCACGATGCTGTTGATAAAGGGTTCGTTCAAATTACAACATATACCCGATCTCCCTCATGGAGTAGGACCGAGATTCATCAATATTTGAGATGTCGAGTATACGATTTCATAGGTAGGTGTATTGAACTCTCATTCCATAATGGAGTTACTTACTATAATAGAATCATCACTCGGACGTCATCTGATACCCCGACCAAGGAATTTCAGTCCGATTTCGAATGACAACGACGTGAACTTTTACCGATGGAAGTTCAGCGAGAGTTACCCCGAGTTTCTTTCTGTACCTTTCTCTCTGTGGCCTCAAGCAAATTATTTCGAGCTCAACAATGCTTTAAATGCTGGAGCCCTTGAGGTTGTTCCAGTTAGCGAAATTCTATCTCTAAATCTCAAAGAGGAACATAGGGCGTCTCGAATTAAGGTCTTATCAAAGACGCATGGTTTAAGCAGTACTAAAGCGCAGCTCAATAAGAATGATCGCCGACAATCTCAAATGGAAACCAGTGATTCATTTCAAGACGATGTGGGCCATTCTCATTTCGTGACAGGAGAGAAATACAACACTTCAAGGGACCCCTCTCTCGTCAAGCCTTCAAAACCCGATGTGTTATATTGGAATCCTGATTCTTCTATTTTATCAATGGCAAAGGGGCCCTTTCTTGAGCATAATGTACAAGCACCAGCAAGCGAAGGTGGCCAGCAGAATAACGAAGATGTAATAGCAAGTGAACCTAACAGGGATTTAAGTAACGCCGATCTTGTGAGCCTCTGCAACCAAGCATGGATTAGTTTAGAAAACCAGCACAAAAAAAATGGCTTCAAGCACGACTATACCCGAGCCACGCTCAACCTGGGTTTGGCTTTGACAGTGCAAATAAAAGAGCAGATTCAGCGAGCCAACGCTTTCGAGCGTGAGAACTACGATCTGAAAATGCAGGTTCTGCAACTAGAACACAACCAAGTTGATCTGCAACAGCAATTATCAAACACGCGGGCAAATGATGAAAAGGAGATTTCGAAGGCAAGGTTGGAAGGAGAGAAGATTGCGGAGAAGAATGTTCAACGACTTTGGAACTCGGCAAAAGAACGGGGCAGAGTGATAGGAGTGTGCGCCGTAGAGAGCAGGTATAAAGCGTAAGGACGTCCGTCAAACTATACTAGTCAAGCTCGTCCTGGTCCTTCGCCTCGAGCTCTAGATACGCCGAATTTTCGAACAGAAGAAAGACAGGGTAATGTTTCGAAAAAGGTACAGTTACAGCATTTTGTCGTACGGAATTTTGCTGACTATACCACCTAGATGCCTTCAATGTGCGCTAATGAAAATAGTGGTCACATCCGCAAAGAAGATGTCCCATGTTCAATTCCACCATTCGACCCAGGTCACTCGACATCAGTGGATGCGATTCCGACTCTTTCCACTGGACTTCTCCCAACCATCGCAGATTTCGAAACGCAGCATTCCCATCATAGGATTCCTGTCACTAACGCCTCCGTTCAGATACCACCAAGCACCCGTGCATTTCACAAATCTTTTCTAAACGACTTTTTAGGATCCATCAATCGCACCCTAAACAATATTCCGTCATCCCACATCCATAACCCTGTCCAATGGACCACATTTTTCACCATACATATAGATACTCAACCATATATATTGCCCCTGTCTACGAGTCCTGTGCAGACTTATGGTCAAATTGTTCACTTTATCTCCCGGCCTACAGCAGAAACACCCCGAGCCACTCTAGGAACCACTTACCCCACCCTCTTACAACTTCCACAGGATAGTGATCAATATTATTACATCGGTCATCTTGTTGTTAGCAGCGTCGTCACAACCCACGATTTCGACCAAGTTTTGAAAAATATGCCAGAAAATAACGAACACACGAAACAAACCAAACGCAAACTACTTAAAGAGAGAGACCGGACTCTAGGCTCGGCGGAAGCAGTCCCAAAAGATATGCAGGTGGATTTCTACATGTTACAGTATGTGTTTTTCGGAACAGAGCAATACAAGATTCTCGCAAGTGCTCAACAGAAGTTTGATGATTTGGAGGCCGCAAATTACACAATCGATTCGTTGTTTAAGGAGCATGTTCACAATACTGTGAATATATCTTTTTATTCTCCTTTGATGACCAATGTTCCTACTGTACCTGCAGCAATGAAGAGAAGATATCCGTTTGGTGATGAGAACGGACGCCCTTTAAACTCATATGGCCGTCATACACCAATTCCTCTGGCTAAGAGGTTTTCCAATGGACCTGTGACAATGGAGAGAAGATGTCAATTTGGTGGTGGTGATGAAACGCGGTCAGAGTCGCAGGATCATCATACCGTGAGCTCACCTCCTTCTCACGCACCCAAACACAATATTCCAAAGAAAAATTTCTGGTCGCCAGAAGTTGAAATTTGGTCTGAATTCAAACTTTATGGAGTCACAACAACATATACAATATATACTGCTCTATACGAGTTAATATGGTGTTTCATATAACGCCGCCCAAGGTCATTGACCTGGAAAATGCGGATTTTACCAATCTGCGGGCTTCGGAGATATTCTCTAATTTAAAAAACTGCTCAAAAAGAAGATAGTGTACCTTCACCAACAAGGTACCTCTAGTTTTTACATTAGGAAACAAAGTAATAACTAATATCACTAATCCAGCAATAAAGGTCTTCAAGACTAAATTTGCTGAGTACGAATACGCTGAAAGAATTCAGTGAAAGGTCATGATTGGCCTGGTAGATGCAATTGACAGATATGTCAATTTTTTCGCTGTGGGGGACAAACGAACTGCAGTCAGGAAATTAAGCACCAGAGTTGTAGAAATCCTTATACTCTCTATCAACAACAGATCCGATCTATTATTGAGTCTATTGTATACACTACCGGCAACAAGAAGTGCGGTTTCTTTAAAAATATATATTATTACCAAAACCTATGCGGAGATCTTCAAGACCCCCAAAACAAGCCAAAACGGGGCGGGCCGAACAGACTCACCTATACCTCAAAAAACTTTATCAAAGGCTCCACCCAACAAGGCGCGCGCCAAACAATAGGCGATACGAATTGCCCAGAGTACGGACCATAGACTATTAATAGCCATCAGCCCTGCAGCCCGGATTAGTAGACCAGTCTTATATGTGCTAAAAAACGCTTTTGTTGGGGCAATCATAGACCTAATACTTACGGATATCCCCATTATATCTGTTACTAAGATAGGATGGGCCATCACACCAAAGGACCCAATAACCCAAGAACTACTCCTTATACAGGAGAACAAGAAAATTATTCTTCGAATCAGCCAAGACATGCAAGTGTACCAATCGATAATGTAGTATAATTACGCAGTCCCTGGAGTCCCAACATCGATATGCATATTGGATGGACTTCTAGCCGATATTGCGAGTCATATGAAAACAGAAGTTCAGGCACAGACAGACTAAACCCCAGTTAGTTATAGATCCTTATGTCACGGGGCTAACCCTTACAACAGTATAATCATATAGATAATATCCTTCCTGAAACCAATCCATAGTTTCAGACTCTTTAACACTAGCAAACTAGTACAAGAGATCAAAACAAAATCTACAATAACTCGATACAACACCAGTTATTAAGGCTAGTACAACCTAACAAGATGCACCAGGCTTACCCACTATACAAACTGTAGGGTTCGAAAAGATGTATACAAAGGCCTATAAGAACCCAACTATATAGCAAAAGCATGATATACTAATTGCTTCGGATCCTTTGTGGCAGGATACCAGAACTGTCTAGCAGTGTCCAAAGTAGTGGATGGTAAAGTCACGGTACCTACCAAACCACAACTCAAGGCTATACAAAAACTGGCTCTGACAATAGAAGCGGTAATGTTTGCTAACCAGAAGTCAAAGGACAACCCCAAGAAAGGGCTTACCCCAGATATAGTTACACCCACACCCATATCTACCCTAGTGACAAAACGTTGGGGAGAACAGATCACCGTCTATAAAACAAGCGGGGATAGTCCAATCACAACATAGCTCAAAAAAGGCATAGCAGTAACAAACCGATCAAAACAGAAACCCTTGGTAAATACAAACCTCAACGAAGAGATCTTAGTCAATAACTAACAAAATATCGAAATAGGAAAAAACCCTCAACCTAATGCATATGAATAGATACCAGATATGTCAAGATAACGTGTATAGTTATTAATAACCCAGAATACAGGATCTAACGGTTTACTAAGCAAATATGGATAGAATACTAAAAGCCCACGATATTTTATTACAAATAGCATTTGAAGACAAATCAGATATCCTATACATACAGAAACCCTTTATGTTTCTATTCACAAAAACCAAAACATACCCAGGATAGACTTTATATACGCTAGTGGATTTATAGACAAAAATGTTCTCTGAATAAAGAGAAGCAGAACAATCCTGAGTATTGATATATATCAGAAAAGGAGTGAAATTACAAATCCAATAGAGGTGGTTAATCAAAAATCGTGATATACTCTGGATAGATGTAAACAAATATTTTATACTAAACGTGTATCGATAATTATAAACAGAATAGATGTTATTGTATATCACCGAATTACAATTGTCTCCAGGGTACCTTATTAGAAACGACTTCAATGTTATATATGAAATATAGTAATCTAGATCGGAAAACCTTTATAGAAGGAACGAGTTATTAATCTGGGCAGACCTGACTGAATTAGAATATATTGAAGAAAAAGGAGCATCTATCTACACAGGAAACAATGTGCTTGATCTTTCATTCTCTAATATACCCTTTACAGAAATCAGGGTCCGGCACGATCTACACAATAGCTTGGATCACTACACCCTGGTAACAACAATACCTGGTAAAGGGATCAAGTCTTTAGACTAACACAACATCTATATTCTGGAAACAGAACTATTACAACTAGCAGGGCTAGTAGTGAATGGAGTGGTATACTTGCCCACAAATGATACCCTCGACATTCCAGAAAGGATAGATAACTTCGCTGATCAATTCACACAAATCATCAAGCAAGTAATGATTGTAGCGGGAACCATGGACAGAGGGAAAGGCAAGGTAGCACCCTGGTGGATGGCGGAATACAAAAAGGCTTATATCGAATATCTGAGCAGATAAACCGTATCAGGGAACCCCTTTACTACAGCAATAAAGGAATTCAAAACAGCAGTCCAAATAGCTAAACGCGATTACTGGAGATATGTCATAAATGATATCTCCAGTAATAAAGATCTATACAAAATAGTCGGCTGACACAAGCTGGCCCCGAACCTCAAAAGCCTCCTAATCACCTCAAACGGAGTGGTAATAGAAGACGCAATAGAAAAAGCCGAAGTGCTTAGGACTGAGATCCTGGATCGTTTTAGCGTGGAGGATGACCTGGAATACGATCTATTGGGAGACTAATAGGAAGAAAGTAGGCATTTACCCTGGAACTCCCGATTTATATTGAAAGAAGTTGAAACAAGTGTTATTGGAGTATTTAGTATGTCCTTAAGAATTAACTAAGTTATGATCAGAATCCTCAAGGTCTGCTGAAACTATCTCAAGAACTTATTAAGATAGCTTTACCAGAAATATCTTAAACATAGTCATTTCCCGAAAACCTGGAAACTAACTAAAATAGCTATATTACCCAAAATCGGGAAAAAGGATATAACATCCGCAAGGTTATAAAGACCCATCACTCTGCTCTCCTGTATAGGAAAAGGCTTGAAAAGAATAATCACTAAACGATTAGGATGGACAGCCCTAAAACACAGTATCATCAGTCCCCAACACAGCAGAGCTTTGTCTAAACACTTTGTAATAGACCTGATAACGTTTTTTACATATAATGTGGAAACAGTATTAACGGCCAGGAAGAAAGTGATTATGGTCACTATGGATGTGCAAGGCACCTTCGATGTATTGCTCAAAAGACGACTCCTTGCTAGAATAACAAAACAAGGCTAGCCTAAGGATTTATTTCTGTTAGTTGACTTTTTCCTGATGGAAAGGAAAGTTAGAGTATGGTTAGAGCAAATTATAATCAGAGAATACTCAGTAGTCTGTGGAACACTGTAAGGCTCCCCCCTATCATTAGTCCTGTACATGCTGTATTTGGCGGAATTATTTTTAGAAGACACCTCCCTCAGGTTCGGGTATGTAGACGATATATGCCTATATAGAGTATCCAAAACCCTAGAAGAAAATACCAGATACTTCATTACGGATGTACAAGATATTATAAAATGGGGAGCGAACAATCGCATCGCCTTTGCCTCGGAGAAATTGGAAATGATCTATATCTCTATAGATAATGGCAATACAGCACTTGCTATCAGGGTTAGTGAAGAATTTATAATCCATCTGATAGTGGTTATAGAAACAAATACCTGTCCAGTACTGAAATAACTGGGAATATGATTTGATAAAAAGCTGAACTTTCGTAGGCATGTTATTGAACACACAAATAAAGTTAGGGTAATGGCAAAGTATATACAAGACCTGGTTAAAGTTATACAAGGCTTTTTAATATATATTATATACAAAGCAGTAATTATATGTATACTTTCTTCACTTTTTTATAGAACTAAAGCCTGGTACAGAGATAGATTCAAGACAGTGTAAAGACTAAAACCAGGATAAGTAAAGATTAGCACCTGCCTTAGCTGATATGTGATATAAATCGAAAAGGTTCTCACAATAACAATACAAGGAATCATACCAGCCTGGAAAACTATACCAATGATTGCCCTCTATCGTGAAACAGATCTCCCCTCAGCCATAGCAGCCCTCAAGAAAGCTAAATTGAGATTTGCTTTATGTCTTTAAAGTGTAGACACAACCTATCCGCTTATGAAAAGAATCGAACCCCCCATGATCGTCAAGGGGTGAGATATAGATACAAGACAAAGAGTAAAAACCAAAGTCTAACGATTAGGTCTCCTTATCCCCTCAATCCTAAGGTCTATACTCGAAATATTACGGTATACACCAGACTACTGAATAGATTTAATAGAAGAGATTGACAAAAAAACGGCTACAAAAGCCTTTAATATCTGATGGGAAAACCTGCCAGATACAGATATCACCATTTTCTTGAATAGATCGGAAAATCATGTGAAAGGAAAACATATTGTAGACTATAGGTACATAACATATCTAGGCAAGAATCAAATATTGGTAGACTTCGGCTTTATCAATATCCAGTTTTATGTTTTCGATGTGGAAGCTATTGGAATATAGAAAGGTCTGGAACGTACTCTCAAGAATATCAAATATACTAATCAGAAAATCTGGATATATATCGACAGTGTTTCGGTTATTTAGGGTATGAGGGCTAACGCCTCCATGTCATTACAATAGATGTTTAATAACTATTATAAGGTTATGAAGGATAACGACATTTGTATCAAATGATCATCAGGATATAAAAGTATCAAGGGAAACGATGCGGCTGATCACCTTGCCAACCTTGGTGCCAAGAAATTTAGTTGGGACACTGGACCAGTATCTCAACCTACATACAATAAGGTGAAATCGATCACACACATCCTTAAAGAAGAGGTTTGCCAAGAATAATGAATAATATACAAATCAGCTCTTTTGTTGTGGTATAAACAATAGGACCCGGTATACAAAGTCAAATCATTGCTAGAGCTTTTATTTCTATAAGTAGTCCTACATAGATTGATAGTTATCCAAACCTTATATAAGGATTTCGGCTAATATCACAGGAAATTTGGGCACTCAGGAGACACAAAATGTTTCTGCGGAAGGCCCAAAACCCCTGCCTACCTGATCCACTGCCAGAAGGCAAGAGGTACCTTTGACCAATAGCCAAACAAGCCTCCCAAACCACCATCGACAAATGAGGAAGGTATCCAATACCTACGTTAAGTTTTAAGCAACCCTACAGATTTCATAAAGCTGCTAAAGCTTATGAAGTTCTATGAAGATATATACCCAAAGTAGAAGACTGTAAGTTCGTTCTTTACAAGCAAATAATCTAAAACCTGTGATAATACATATCTATTACTAGGATCGACTTGTAATGTACAATATAAACAAAACTATTAACTCCTTTTACAGAGTGTATGTAAAGAAACAATATTATCAATAGATATAAAAAACCTGATTGAATATCAATAAGATATGCGAAAACATATTTGAAAACACTTTCTGGAGTATAACAAATATTCAAACTGTTATATCAAAAGCAGTTTACTAATCTGTCCAGTGCAAACAATGGCAAGTCTACAACAAGGGCATACCCGTTTACATTAGGTAAGACAGCAGGACCACCTCAACCGGCAGAGGAAAGAATATACAAATTGGAAGGTAATATACGATTACCGGGAATGGTCATAAGGCTTTCACTTTTCTTTCTAAGGCACTTTCATTTCATGTATCGTAAAACTATAGCTTAGAATATCTGCATATCCTTAGGGAGGTTCTGAGGGCAGCCCTAAGCTGCTCTCCTGATATAAAATAATACTACTACTACTACTACTACTACTACTACCTCCTTCTCACGTCAACAACTCTTCCCGTGAGTCTGCATCGATGAAGAGGGGTTGTCCGTCCGGGGGAGAAAATGAAAATGCATATGAAAATGGATATGGATATAGAAATGGAAATGGAAATGGAGATACGTGGGAGGGTTCAAGGTGGAAGAAAAGTGTCACAACGGGTTCGAATCATATGGATAGGAGTAGAAGGTTGTGATAGTTAAGTGTTTGTTGGGTATTATAGTTTGCAATTGGTTACATACTCGTATAGTAGTACATATAGTATCATGTTTATAGTATGAGTATCAGTACCAGTTCCTTGTATAGTGTGAATGGGATTTTTAAAAACGAGATGAAGTTTGCCATGTACATATATATATATATATCAGTCACGCTCCGAATAATCTTACAACGGTTTTAAAGCGATGTCATGTCATTATATATATACTCTTTCTATTAATTTATCTTATACTCGAGTAGATAGACTATGGGTAGATATTGTTAAAGGTGATATAATGTAATGTAATGTAATACAACTAGCTAGCTATCTTCTTTCCAATTATAGATAAATAAAAGAGTTAAAGAATTAAAGAATTAAAGAATTCAAGAAGTGATTGATTTTGAAGACTGATGATTTGGATTGGGATAGATACTACTCGAGTAGATGATTCTTGATATTAAGAATAATATTAAAATACCGGTGGTCTTTTTAAATTTGGATTTTAAATTCAAGACTTTGAGTATATTGATAGATGTAGATATAGATAATAGTAGATACATCATATCATATCAAATAAATCCTAGATAACACTCGGATTTGGGTTTCCTATTCTTGTCAAAACTCCAATATACATGTCATGCGATGGGATGCGATGATGCAGATAGATGTTCTTGGTGGGTTGTTTCAAACGATGTGAGTTTGATTTTCTACTGTACAGTAAGTAAGTTCAAAGATGTCGTGGTGGTAAGGTTAAAACTCGTAGTAATAATAAGTAGATTCTGCAGTATACTGTATGTTTCAAGAGTGGAGTGGAGTGGAGTGGAGTGGAGTGGAGGGGAGTAGAGTAGAGTAGAGCGGAGTAGAGTAGAATGGAGTAGAATGTGTGTGGTTGAGTTTGGATTTGGGTTTCTTTGTTTGGAGTTGGGGTTTGGATGTGTTTGGATGGGCTAGGATCTGTGTGGATATGGATGGATGTGTATGGATGGGTATGGATACAATGTTTAAGGATTTGAGGATTTGTTTGTTGCATCGGATGAAGTGAGTGAGTAAGGGAATCTGGGTTTGGGGCTTATGGTTTGGGGACGGAGTGATATATATATATATCTCGCATCATCCCACTCTCATCACACCTCATCTCATATTACCACCACAGCATCTAATGATCAATACCAATACCATACTCCTTCCCGTTTAACCAACCCAGCGCATAATCACAAATATGTCACGCTCCCCTCGGTTCAGACCCCGTTTATTACTCGACCACCCAGTCCACACACAATCCTTATCCGCCATGGACGACTGCCCATCCGAAACACAATCCTTATCCTCCATGGAAGACTACCCATCCCAAACACAACCCTTATCCTCCATGGACCGACCACCCCCCCGTCGCCATCTCGAACCCTCCACCTTCCACAATAGGATCGATATCGCCGACAGGGTCGTCGATAAGGTTGTCGACAAAGTCGCCTCCACTCTTTCAACCCAACAAACCGAACACGTGCAAACACTTCTTGCACAAAAAAATGAAAACGACAAACAGCTCTTGAACATGATGATGGGGTTCACAGGCCAGGAAACCAAAGACGCGCGGGAGCAATTGAATGAGCGATTTGAGACACAGATAGAAGAAGGGAGGAAGAGGGAGGAGGAACAAAAGGAACTTGTGAGTGCACTGCGTGAGGAGATTGAGAACGAGAAAGAGGAGGTGGGGAAGTGGAAAGAAAGGGCTAAGAGTTTGGAGATACAAAAAGGAGAAGTGGAAAAGGAGGGAAAGAGGGAAAAAGAGAGGTGGGAGGAAGTTTTGGAGGGTAAAGAAGGGGAAATTAGGGAGTTGAGGGAGGAAATAGAGGTGGAAAGAGTAGAGGTTGCGAGGCTGGATAGTGAAGTCGAGAGTGTGATGCGAGAAAGAGACGATGCGAGGAGAAGAGTCAAACGGATGGAGCTGGACCAAGTGAATTTGACCGAAAGAATGAGAAGCGTCGATGAAGAGAAGAGAATAATGCAACAGGATCTAACGTTAAAGATTGAGAATGCAGGGGAGTTGAAAGGAGAGATTTCTGAATTGAAAAGGACGATTGAGAAATGGAGGGCGGTTGCTATAGTATTGCTCGCGCAGAGATCTTGGAGTAAGATTCCGGCATGTATGATTTGGTTTGGTTGCGAACCCTTTGCACATCTTCTATTCCTTGCCGAAAAAACATACTAATCTTCTGACTTTGATTGATGCAGATCGCAGGACCGGTCTTCCAGTATCTTGCGAATTGGTATTCTTCAAAGGAAAGTGTCGCTGCTACTGAAGCGTATATGGAAGACTTTCTTAGGGATGAAGGTGTCACTATCTGATTAATGACTGGCTATTGAGGAATCGAAATGGTTTTTATAATAGGAATGGTGTTATGGATTGATTGAAGAATGAATTTTGTTGATAGCAATACTCCCTCAGGTAGCAAAAAATACCTACTGTATATGTTATCTGAAATTTGAAGAGCAATACGCTTGTACAGTACATATTTACTGTGATAGATTTAAAAACTATTAGCCCCAGACTACTGCTCATCAAATACAATAATGAACTCTTTCTAGCTTTCCCCACCTACTGTACTTCTTCAAACTGTGAAGGGGTTCACGGTAGAGAACGAAAGCGGTGTGAAGCAATTTAGTTGGTAATTGGAGTTATTAATGAAGACAGGAAAAGGAAGTAGAGCTTTCTTTTCCTTTCTCATAGCATAGCTATAGATTAGCTAGTAAGGAAAGAGCCAAATGGTCGGGGTACCACCTGACACTACTCCCAGCGTATGCAAACTCCCCTCCTTTCCTCTCCTTGGCTAAAGGAGAGGAAAGATAGTATCAACTAGGATGATTAGGTAGATTAGAAGAAAAGGGGAAAATAGAAGGAAAGCATAGATTCAAAAAAATACAGGAAAGGAAAGGAAAACATTGAAAAAGTTTGAAGGAGAAAAGTAATTCACGATTTTTGAAGAATTATACAGACTAAGAATAACAGAAAAATCTATAGGAGAGTAAGGATTTCTAGGGCTCAGGAGAGGAGGGGATATTGCATGAAATGTGCAGTATATATTATTTGCTACCTTAGGGACCCGATGTGATGATCGATATGAACCTATGGCGAATAAATCTTGGTGCCACTAATCATCGGTACCAGAACATTCGCCACATCCGTTGGATCTCTCCAGGTCGACCAATCATGCGTAAGTAATCCTATGAAACTGTTGTTAATGATTCTCTTCTCTTCACCATTCCAAAGCCTCCTGAACAGAAAGAAAGAAAAAGTAAACTCACCCCAGTTCTCATCCGAATCCTGCACCCCCTCCCTAACATAATAACTCCCACTCAAAACCCAAACCATCCAACCCCCTTTAACCGCACTCAAATACGACTTCAAACAAGTCGAATAAACCGACGCATAATCCGCCTTCGTCTGCGAATGTCCCCACTCCGTCATCACCACCGGCATTTGATTCACCACCCCACTATTCAGCGCATTATATCCGTGACTCTGCAAACTACTTTTCAAACTCGCACAGTTGGAAGTACTGCTTGCATAATTGTGGAGCTCCAAGACTAATTTATTGGCATACGAGAAAGACGATTTGAGAAACTTTTGAGTGCTGGATGGGGTGAGGAGAGCAGCGTTTGCGATGGGGGAGAGATCGGTGTCGAAGTTGAGACCGGAGAGGAAGATGAGGACATTTGGGTTGGCGGTGTGGATGCTGTTCATGCCGGCTACAACGTTGGTGTACCAATTGGCCCAGTTATAGGAAGAGTCAAGAGAGGCGTTGTCAGTTGGCTCGCGGAGTTCGTTGCGGAGCGCCATGGACATTAAGTTGCCCCAGGCGGCGCCCTGTTTTTGTTAGATGGTTATGATGGTTATGGGATGTGATGAGAGGTGTATTGGGGATGGAAGGGCGATTGGTATCATGTGATCGAAAATGGGGATGCTCGGAGTGAAGAATAACCTACTCGAGTAGCCATATATGCAAGACCCCGTTGCCAATTCGCAACATTGAAATAAGTGTCTCCAAACCAAGCATTTCCATCAGCAGTAGAGCAGCACCACTCACCCTTCGAAATATGGTTATCGAGATGAACATATATTTGCTGCTTGAGGCACTCGGCAGCAATAGCATCAAATACCTGGAGATACTGAAATCAGCAATTCGGTACACTGCCCACGTCATAGAGTAGATCGTACCTGCATCCTAGTAGTCTTACTCGTAAACGTCGGGTTATTCTTGATAATTTTATTGACCACCGCAGTACCATTAGTTGTGCCTAGGGCATTGGTAAAACTCGTCAAAATTGGCACATCCACCTGTCCGTTTGCATAATAATCATCAATCATTTGGATGGCATACGTAAGACGAATAACATTCATGCCGAGACTTTTAATCTTGGTCACAATACTAGCAATTGATTGATACTGAAGACCTTCGGGGATCATGGTATCTGCTGCACCAGGCCAATTTGCGCCGGCGTAGGAGACATTGTGGCCGGCGGAATCGAGAATCCAACGCCCGGATGTAGTAAAAGGAGCGTAAGGCCAGGTAGCTCGTTCTTCGATTGGAGATGCGAAGATGGAAGTGAGGATGGGGGAGAGGAGTAGAAGAGCTTTGGAGAAGTACATGATGGAGAGGAGAGATGGCAGTATTGTGTGACTCCACGGGAATTTCTTCACCTTGTCGGGGCAAGTGATCAAATTATAGAAATATTGCCCTAACTACTCAACATACAACAACGCGGAGTTCGCAGTAATCAAGGCCTTACAAGTACACTAATCCATTTTCTCTTTTCTAGAACAGAGCTTCCTGTAAAGTGAACCATAAGAAATATATCTCGTGTCTGCCGCTAGCCGATCATGATTGGAGCGCATAGCTTACTTCACTTGACTCCACACAGACCAAAGACTTCATGAGTATATCCGTCGGCTCATGTCGGTTCATACCAAGATATATTCATCACAAGATCAGTATGTTCAGTCAGGTCCATGCACAGATCCTCGTTATAATACGTGATAATTAAAGTAGGTACAGCAGAAACAGAGCACCATGAAAGTCAAAAGTTTACCCCATGGAGGTTCGGGGAGAGATGGGAAAGACCGGCAGCCAATAACTGTGGGGTAGTAGTGTAGTGCCGGTTGATGTTCTGTCGTATTACCCTTTGACGCGGGTTAGATAGTGGTGGAAAATTAGAGTTGTGGGGTAATGGCGGGGTATAATTGGTGTGACTCTATGCAAAGCCCGAGAGAATATATTTCTAGCAGCCAGGATCGATTAGAAAATCACCCAAAAGCCAAGATCTGCTACCTTCTATCAATAAGAGCTCATGTTTCTTCCCTAAATGGCGTGTACAATGTTCACATGCCGAAAGCATGATGAGTAGCAATCTCAAACTTCCTCCATTAAATATTTCCGGATACTATGTTCCATTACTGAGGACCAGGAGTCTCATACTTATAGCCCGATACTGAAAGTACCGTCCCCAACCCACGATGCACTTCAGCTTGAAATGGTGCAAACGGCACACGCTCGCCGTCTATGGATATGTAACCATCTGACTGGTCCCTTGGAGTGATTCGGTATGCCTCGACTTTGCGGTAATTAACGTAGGGCAAACCGAAGAATTTACCACTCTCGACAGCTGGGAGAAGCTGCAGTGCCTGCAATCGGCTGAGATTTGAATAATTAATGGTGACCATGTCCATACAACCATCATTTGGAAGTGCGGCTGGGAAGTAGTCAACGTCCGCACCCATCCAAGACATCTAAACCCCGAGAATTAGATCAATTACATAACAGTTCGAGCACATGTATACTCACATTACCACAATAAAAACTTCCCATGTTATCGTGGTGTTCAACTTCCCAGCCTTGAGGTAATGGATCGTTGACAGTACCAAATGTCAGCTCGGGTAAACCACCCTCCAACAAACCATTTTCTCGTAATACTTCTTCAGAGGTACTCCTAAGCTCTATAGCTTCATGATAACGCCTCTTGATTTCTGCCTTGTCATCTGTGACTACTTTGACAGCGATATCGCAGGGAAAGATTTTCTTTTGAAGGGATTTGAGAACAAAGCCGTAGATGAATCGTGTTCCTTCCATCCACCTTAAATGCTCCGTTCCCAGATCAAACTCAGCCACGATACCGAGGGCTTGCGACAGGAACGATAGATGGCGTTCCTCACCCTGCGTGATCGATATCAAGTCTAATGGTGTACGAATACCTTTGATTATCGACAGTGCTGCAATACTACTAGATCTGATATTACCATGGAGACTGCAATGCAAACCATTTCCAGATCCACAAGGTATGTGCCCAATGGCCATTTTAGAGAGAGCTGTCTTCGCGTCTTTGCGTTTTCCAAGACCATTGAAAACTTCGAATGGAAGGCCATCCCCAGAACAACAAATGATTGCATCGTAAGCTTCAATATCAAGTTTTTCCACGATGTCTATTGCTTCCTTTGATGCCTTTGTTATCGTCACATCAATAAAAAGATGTGCAGCATCAAGAATTGGTGCAACATCTTTTGCGTAGATCTTCTCGGATTGTCCTTTTCCACTCTTTGGTTTGATCACCACTTTGACTCGCTTCTGCTGCTGGGATTCGCCATATGCGCGATCCTTAAGCCTAGAAGCCCATGCTTCCACTCGGTCTCGTTCCTCTTCGATTTGAAACTTCAGTACTGCTGCTTGAAGAATAGTCTTGGAAACCTCCTTTGCGTAATTGACGACGAGTTCAGTCTCAGTTAATTCCGCCCAAAGAATTTGACGTAAAGATATTGCACGTAAAATTGATGAGCCCACAGGCTCAGAGTAGGCAGATGCATCTAGTGTCACAGAGCGACGGGCACCGGCTGACTTTGCGCCTTTCTAGGGCTTCTTTGCTGTTTCGGCGCCTACGATTCTTTAGCATGTCATCATTATCTTTGGATGAAACTACATACCTTTGATAACCAAGGATTCAGGACTCAAGGTTAGAGATACGTCTTTGCTGACAAAAAGTGTGTTGTCTATGTCAAATCGACCAGCGCTGCCAGTCACAGTACTTCTTCTCCCTGGTGGAGGGATCGAACTAGGGATGTAGCAGATGTCACCATTTCGAATTTTACTCAATGAGGACTTATCGATGAACAATCAAGCTGTCAAGAAATGAGCGCGATGCCGAGGTTTCCGTGATCATTCGATGTCAAGTTGAACAATTGAAAAAAGACAAGGTGTGGGTGGTTTATCACAATCTTCGTCTCATAACCTCAGAACTGATGCTTCTGGAAAATTGAATGGAAGGACAGAACTCAATAATTGAGGAAATATCTCACAATCTGATCAGTGCGACGCGCGACCTTCCTCATCTGGGGTAATGTTTGATAATTACGAGGGTTTGGTTGCACAGACGCGCCGATATCCTTGTTTGTAAGCAGGGGTTGAGTGACACGGCGACGAGGTCAACGAAAGTAACGTTCAGCGTTCAGTCAGATATTTGGGACTGTTATGACCAAAACTATGGAGTGTATTCAATCCTGAATACCTGCCTGAGAGGATAAATATCGCCCAAAGCTTAATCTGTTTGACATCGGTGAAATGGAGAGGCAGGCAGGCCTCTTAAACATCATCGCTCTCGAGCATGTTTTTCCTGACATCTGGGGTCTTAATGATGAAGATTCCTCCCGAAAATTCATGCCTGTTGCCTTGAAATTCAAAGGATGGCAAATATATCGGACGACAGGTGTGTTGTGAAAAATGTAGAAGCTGGGGAAGGGAAAAGAGGTTGGATGAGTACTTGTGCATGTACAGTATGGCCCGTGCATGATGATACTTCAGGGGTTCATTACTTGCTGCAGTCCAATCACGAGTTCAAAAGAGAAGAACATTGACATCCCTTAATTAACTCTCATCTCGGATATTTACATATTTACATACAAACCTCGTTCTTTGGAGATTATTGTACCACCGTCCAGTGTACTTCTTAATCCTTTGAATAGTTTGAATATACCAACTTCACCTCTCTTCCGGCCAACATTAGTTCAGCAAAGCCATGCATTTTGATTCACTAGCTCAGAAAGAACAGCAGATAATCTTTAAGGTATGGCTTCGAACCCTATTACAAAAAGAACCCGAACAAATCGCCTGTGAACTCGCGGGTAAGCATCGAACAAGGAATGGACTCACGGCCGTTCGATGGAGGGTTGGTGGATATAACCTTACTTTTCGAGTCAAATATGACGATGGCTACGAAGTCATAGTTCGTTCGCTGCACTTGGTCAATCACTCTATCGCATCGAGAAGGTTGAGAATGAGGCCATCGTTCTTCAATACCTCCGTAAGCACACCACTATTCCTGTTCCACGGCTATTCGGCGTCGGGATGATCACCCTTGGGCCATATATTGTCGAAGAATTTGTGGAGAGAGACCTTGCTTCCGTTCCTTTCAAAGAGTCCGGAATTGAGCTACAAAACTGGAACCCCAATATAAGTGAGCAGAAATTGAAAGTTCTTTACCGCGAAATGGCCAACATTGTGCTCGAAATGTCGAAACCAGAGTTCACGCGCATCGGCTCTCTGGTGCAAACCGTAAAGAATGGATATACTATCGGCAGACGTCCCATTACAAAACATCTAAACGAACTAGCTATGAACGCTAATCTTGGACCCCAACACTTTTCCAACTCAATATATACCACTTCTGTTGGCTACTTCGAGTCATTGGTTGAACAACATATGGCTCAACTCCGCAATCAACGAAACAATTGCGTAACGGATGAACACGATTACAAAAAGAAGTATATAGCTCGCTGCCTCTTTCTTAGAATTGCTGCACATATGGCTATCAAGTACTCTACTGGCCCATTTCGACTCTTTTGTGACGATTTCCGACCATCGAATGTTATTGCCCACACAGAACCATTTCACATCAATGCAGTTATCGATCTCGAGTTCACATATGCCGCCCCTTCAGCATTTACTTATGCAGCGCCTTGGTGGCTTTTGTTACAGAATCCCGAGTAGTGGGAGCTTGACTTGAAAGGAAGCTTTTTGCCTCGTTATACACCACGACTTCATCTTTTTCAACTTCATCACCTCACTCCCATCCCATCTCTCTCATTCCACCTCATCATCCCATCCCACTCCCACCACACCCTCCGCCCCACAAAACTTACAGTATCCAACCGAGCCTATCCCCTCTCTCCCTAAAAGCCTAAAATCCAAATCATCCAAACAGCAAAACTTCCAAGTTAAAGTTAAAGTTAGCCACAACAACTTTCAGTCCTGATCTAATCCACATTACATATACCGTAGTCTTCATCTAATCCACATTACACATATAAAAATTCCAACCAAAACAAAACAAAACAAGAAACCAATAAATCCTCCTTGCAAACCCTTTCTTCATGGATTCTATATTCTATATTCTATATTCTATGTACGAGTAATGTATTCGAGTATATAATGTATAAACTACAGTATCGGTATACGATTGAATCGAAAGATCATGAATGATGATGCGCGATATGTGCTGGAAAGTATAAGAAAGTATTTGAGGAGGAAATGAGGAAATGAAGATGTGAGGAAATAAGGTAAGGTAAGGAAGGTAAGGTATTCTACTCGAGTATTGCCGTGTTATGAGGTTGAGGTTGAGGTTGAGGTGTATAGTATTGTATAGTATAGTATAGTATAGTATAGTGTAGTGTGGAATTTTGTATTGTATTGTGGTGTGGAGATCTGTGGTGTAGTGTAATAAGGTATAAAGATTAATAACAAGGTATATATATGAAGACATGAAGAAAAGGAGACAGGAGAGTGGAGATAGAGGAGGAAAGAAGAGTAGGGTACTAGTCGGCGCTCCAAGGAACGGCCGCCTGGTTTTCAGTCGGGTAAAGTGGTTGGCTTCTTTCGAATGAATGAAAGAATGAATCACTACTCGAGCATAAGAGTGCATTCTTAATATCAAAGCAAATCTAATCTAACCCAATGCTCACTTCTCACTTCAAGATCCCCCTTACTCCCTATCAAAGCAAACATCACAAAGTAATATCCTCCCTTCCTCCCAATCTACCTTTCATTTCATTTTCATCTAAACGCTATATACCATCCAGATCTCGACGCTCCGGAGAAGAACTAGGACTATGAATGAGCAATTGCAAAAGCTAACGATCGAACTCTAAATACCACTTGCTTTCCATGCAATAAATACGAATATAAGTGCGCCTATAGGATAAGCTGAATCTTGCGGCATCCACCATTCTACCCTCTTGAAGCATCCAGTCTTCGTCTCATGGCTAGAACTTCCTTACATACCATGTCGACCCAGGCATCGAATCTATTTCCATTAGCATTCTCACCGATTATTTCTATATTCCGCTCGAGTCCAAAAGAAAAACAGAACATTACATACTCAGAAATTCCATCCCCCCAATCAACCCTCTCATAAACTCCCTTCTCCTCCTCCTCCTTGGCCGTCAACCCCGGTCCCCTCCCCACCTTCCTATCCGCCCTCTCCGTCGCCCCCACCCCCATAAACAATGCCCTCGGCGTAATCCCCACACACCTCGCTACAAATTCTCGGAACTTTTTATCCGGTTCCATGGCATCCATCGTATTATTACCACTACCATTACCATTACCACTTTTCAAATTGTCATTTCTCGAACTATTCATATTATTTTCCATTTTACCCTTTCCAGAAACTCGATATTCAGAAGTGGGTTTGGTGTTAATGGAAATGGAGGAATATGAATTGGGACTAAGATTCACATTGGGAGAAATAGATGCAAGGCTTCGGGCAGGACGACCTTCCATGCGGAGATAGAATTCCTCGCGCGAGATATCGCGGCCCATGGCTCGCATGGTTTGGGTGTGGAGACGGGAGAGGATGTCTAGATCGCAGGCGTGAGGACCAATGGCGCAGAAAGTGGTTGGGTCTGTGATATTTTGTTAGGATGGATGGTAATTTTACAAATGGGCTTTGATCAAGAGATGAGAGGGAATGATGTAATAATCTTGGAAGGAACAGTATCACTTACGGATGTTGGGGGGAAGAGTTGGAGATGGAGCTTCGGGTATTTGTGATATTTTTGGAGAGAAAGTATAGGAAGGAGCACGACTTCCGTTTCGCTTTTCTGAGTGGAATGACATTGTGTTTGTTGATGTGTATGAATTGATGATCTTTCTATGTTTGTGAAGATCTAGAGACAGTAAAAGTAACACTGTACTTAGTATTTGAATCTCTATCGAGATGTGTTGAATACGGCAGAAGTTAAGAGGGAAGATGGAGGAACAGAATGGGGGGTTATATCAAAGAAATGATTTGATGAGGAAACAAATTGAAAGATCTTTTTATGGAAGATAAGACGAGACTGTAAAGATCAGATGAATTGATTCACTATGTATTTGTGTGTAGATATAGATGAAGGTGAATGGAAACTCAAGCAAACATCGAGTCGAATCGAATGAAAAGGTATTCAACTTGAAGATCACTATCTATTCCAGAGATCCTTTCAAACTTTGTAAACTCATGTTAGCTACTAACATTCTTTTCTCTTGTTTTAAGAAAAGAACGAGTTGCTATGATCCAAAAGATATCGGATGAGGAAAGAACTACCCATCTCAAATGAGAAAGAAGCTACTCACGTGTTTCCCAAACTTTATATCAAACCAGAAATATCAAAAATCACAACTCCATAGATACAATTGGATATCAAATCAACCACACAATATACTTATCTAATTCTTACATGAAAAGATAGTTTTGCTTCTTTTAAAACCGTAAAAGAAAGTCCAAAATGTTTCATTTATTCAAAGGTATATGATACCACTTTTAAGAAGTAGTATTCTGGAACCTCAGACATGCAACAAAACAATTTCTCAAAAAGTATAAATTCTATATAACAAGTGACTTCAAACTTTTAATCACAACAAGCAATCACAACCACAATCACAACCACAACCTCATTGAATATATTCTAGTAATCAACCAACTATAAGAGCTCCATATTATCAACAGTTTCCCACCCACATCCATACCAAATAACCTTATCGATATATCCTCACACTTACAATTTTCCATTTCCCCAACATCAACATCAACTCAAACTACTTCCCTCTCCTCTCTCCTCTCTCCATTCACACAAAACAAGAAGCAACAAACAAACCTATCATCCTAGTAATATAAAAAATATAAAATATAGAATACAAAACCTCACCCCCTCCCATTAGATTCGCACTAACAATGCACTAATAACACACTAACAACATCCCAGCAAAAAAACTGTACTGTGCATGAAGATATGCAACAAAAACTTGAGGATCTTGATTTTTATTGGTTGATGATCGATGAGTGGGTTATTAATTAACACTAAGATTATTACAAGGATTTGTTGTTTTGAATGATATTTTGAGAATGAGGATGGGATGAGAATGAGATGTTTTGGGAATGGGAATGGGAATGAGAATGAGGATGAGGATGGGAATGAGATGAGGATGAGAATAAGAATGATATAATATAATGTGCGTTTGGTGAATAATATAATTGTGTTCTGTGAAAAAAGCCATGATACGCATTTAAAGGATAGGTACTACATACAATTTGTGATGGTACTGTGTCAGCCACGGTACTAATTAGAGGGAGGCAATGGGTTGGTTCCTTTTTACATACTATACTGTAACGACAATAATCATGCGAGTGATGCATCAAGATCAGCTTTCACATTCTGCATAGTAGGAGGACATAATTGTAATGATAAAGCTTCTATCCATTTGCCGAAACCTCAAAACTATATTAATAATCTCCCCCTAACCCTCAAACCCACAATCCACTCTGCAAAACCGCTCTATAATCCGTATCATCCGGACTCGAATACACTGGTAATCCCACATGTTCATTCAACCAATCCAGCACAGTCTTATGCCACACCAAACTATTCTCTTGACTCAACACCCAATGATTTTCATTTGGAAAGCTCAAGAATTTACTCTTGATACCCTTTGCTTGAAGGACATTAAACGCCGCAAGTCCTTCTGCAATGGGAAGACGATAATCTAATTCGTTGTGGTTGATGAGATGAGGTGTCGCCCAGGCATCTGTATGATTGGCCGGATTCCAACGCGCGTAGTTGTCGTAGTTTTCCCAGAGGGTTCCGTTGAACTCATGTTGCATGAACCAGAGTTCCTCCGAGGAGTATTGGGCGACGGTGGAGAAACATCCATCGTGTGTGAATAGGGCTTTGAATTTTCGTCCGAGGGGTTGTCCTTGGATCCAGTTCACCATGTATCCACCGTAACTAGCACCTAACGCAATAGCGCGATCGGTATCAACGTATGAGAGGTTCTCTTCGATGTATTCCCAGCCCTTGACGAGATCATTGTATGGTCTGCCACCCCATTGGTTTTGAATGCCATCGGTGAGTTCTTGGCCGAATCCGGTGCTACCAGTGGGGTTGAATGCGATGACGATATACCCTTGTTCGGCAAAGACGGCCATATTCCAGCGGGCACTCCAAAGATCCTCGGTGGCTCCTTGGGGTCCGCCGTGGATGTAAAATGCCAGGGGGTATGTTTGACCTTCGACGAATGTACTAGGCTTAATGACCCAAGCATGGACTAAGTAATCGCCATCACCTTGGTAGTAAATATCGGAGATGAAATCGCGGGATAATCCATAGGCCTTCAGACTATCAAGGTTGGCCGAGATGGTGGTAATGCCCGATGATGCATTAGTGGCAGCAGAAACGGTGGGGTCGACAGAAGAGAAGACAGAGTTATCGAGGAAACTTGAACTGCTAATAAGTAACTGATCTTTTCCTAACGGTCGGAGGTCTGTTACACCTCCGTCTTTGAAGATGATGGATGGAAGAGTTGTATTTGTAGGATCCGTAGAAAGGGTAAATAGTCGAACTCTAGCGAAATCTTCAGCTACTGCATAGAGAGATTCACCGTCTTGACTGTAGAGGAGCGTGCTTGGGCTACGATCCCAAGATCCTTTTCCATTATCCGAGGCGTAGAATTCAACGGCAGTCAAGTCGGAAGTGACATCTGCTACCTGTAGAATACGATTCTTATCACTTTCGTAGCTGATATGCTTCATACGGACAAAAGCAAGTGACGATCCAGAGGGCGAAAAGACCACACCGTCCGAAGCACCTTCGAGATCGGGAGTAGAGACTACTTTCAATTCTGGACAGGTCTCGGTAAATGTCGCCAATGGTACGTAGTAAACATCCGATTTAGTCGTGGTAGCTTGATTCAAGGTAATATCCTTGGCAACAAAAGATAAACCTTTGGAGCCAATATCGAAGCTATTGAAATGTCAGAGAGCTTTACAACAATAATACAACGTCGGTCACTCACCTATTTGTACCACCGAATGGTGGAACGGGTGATTCGAGCCCAGATCCATTCAAAACATTGACTGGTTCACTCAGGGCATAACCGCTGTCACTCGTTGATAAAGCGGCGTACCAAATACTATTTCTTTCTTTTGTGACGTCTATATCATGTTAATTCTGTATGTTAATATGAGTAATAAGACCTTACATGTGTCCCAATGCCTCACGAAAACAGTGGTATAAGCTCTTCCGGTAGAATAAGGCGCTGAAGCAAGCTCGGAGTTGTACAAAGTGCCGTTAGGTGAAGCTTGGCCGCTGAATGCCACCCCGAGAGTTCCGTTGCCAATGCTGACTAGCTTGAGGTTGTCTACTGCTCCCGGAACAGATCCTGCCGAGATAGGTCTATAATGATGTCAGTTTTGGCCAAAGGCTTTAGACGGAAACTGTGTTAGAGTCTCCCTCGCAGAGTGGCTCGTCAAGTATCACATGTAGGTATGAGATTTATGTACTCACTCCGCACTTGGTGTCGTCGCATCTCCCACAACAAAACTAGTGGATCCATCATCCTCTGACGCAAACCAGATAATCTTGCTTCCATCACCCAACCAATTGGCATTGCTGATGGCGCTAGAGTTACTAAAGAGCCATGATGTGCCGTTCGCAAGATTTATTACACGAAGCTCATGAGCATTGTGGTGCTTCTCGAATGAATAGGTAGCCACGGTGTATAGTGCAAGCGTTCCATCTGCGTTTGGGACTGCTGATCCTCGACGAGGAGAACTCAACATAGCCTGGGGAGTGAACGTCGGTGTGGAGTTGGTATAGGCAGCATTGACTAGTCCCGTGGACAACAGTGCCAACAACGACAGAGAGCTTCTCATCGTGAACAACATGATGGACGAATGTCCAGGTTGACTTAAGAGAAAGAAGGGGGTGTAGGTGATCTCGAAAGGCAATCATTGGGGCGAATGACGAGCTTTTATATTCACCGTCTACCCCATTGTAACCAACTAATTGGTTTGTTATCTCGGGGCATGATGTCGTGCTATAGTGCCAAGCTCCAGAACGGTGAACATATTGACATTCCTACATCCGAAGTTCTGAGCCAAGCAACCTGTATACAGGACTCCTACAGTGAATTAGCTGAAGTGAAGTCACACAAAGTGCGGAGAAAGTTTTCCCCTGTAACATTCGTCTTATCGTGATTCCAGGATATCATAAGGTAATAAATACCAGTCAATTGGGACGATAGGCCAGGCACATACCAATGCAAATGGGATTTCCATACCAAGTCTAACTTTACTCGTATCAACTCCGGTACCCGACTATGAGGTTGGGTCAATCTAAGCATGAGAGGAAGGTCGTTTAGAACTTTAGACTGATCTCTGAAGCTATCTCTTCAAAGGGGCAGGTGGGAGTGCCTTGGCTCTAAGCGCCAAGCGCCAAGCAACGCCACGGCAAATTGTTGGGTGCAAATGTATGTATGTCACGTGACCAGTCCCGAGAATGGGGAGATGCACTGTGGTGCAATGAACTTTCTGAGCCGTTTCAAGCCGAGCCTGAATCCCAAGCCTTGGTCTTTGGCCAGACACTGTAGCCAGACACTGAAGTAGCTAACAGAAAAGAATGGCGAGGGGGTTGTCCAGGCGATCAACATTCAAGATCCTGTAATGACTTCAACGTTAACACCTTCAAACAAAATGAAAGACTAAGAACTGAAAGTCCAGTTCAATTCGTACATTGAAAATGATATTCGTCTGAGATCTGGGGAAGAGCCTCTTGAAATCGCTGTTGCACCTTTTGCTCACCAATGGTCAGAATCTAACAAACCAGCGAAAAGCGTAAGTATAGGTATGCTCAAGTAATGCATTCATAGCCATGTGCCAGAAGCCGAGCTGGCGCACCTTGCACCTTGCAGAAAATATAAAATACATGCCACAGACGCTTATAGTACAGTGGAGAGTTCATCTTATTCGCCATTACTATCCCATTTTATTATGCCTTCTTATTTTTGTCCTCAAATGCCTCAGTGACATTCAGGCCCAATCCCTCCGAATCCAGGTACAGTTTGTTTTTTCCACCGGCATCTTGAATGATTTGAGCAATTACTCTGGCATTCTCGATTCTCTTGAGATCAACGTATGATCGACTCTTCTTGATAGCATCACCAATCAACTCTGCAGATCGTGCTTCTCCCTGGGCCTTGACGATCATAGCTTGTTTCTCTTGACGTGCCTTGTCAACAACGAATGCAGCACGCTGAGCCTCTTGTTGTGCGACTTGCTTGGCCTCAACTGCTGATGTGAATTCGGGAGAAAATGCAAGATGCTACTTAATGTTAGCATGTGTGAATTTCCCCGAGTATCGTTTGCAAATCATACCGTCAAGGAAACATCATCAAGCATGATGTTGAACTTTGCTGCTCTCTTCGACAAATTCTCTCTGACTAATCTTGCGACCATCTCACGTTGTGTAATCAATTGACTGGCGTTGAATTGCGCCACAACACTTTTCAAAACTTCGTTCACGATAGATGGCAATACTCTCTCATCATAGTCGGTACCTAGTGTTCGATAAATTTGAGGTAGGGCGTCGATTCGGGGCCTTGAAAGAACACGACAGGTAATGTTGACCATTTGTAAATCTTTTGTACCAGTGAGGGAGGCGACATTGCGTGGCTTTGCTCGAACATCGTAGTCTATAGGAGTCTCAAACCATGGAAGCTTGAAGTGAGTTCCTAAAATCAAAATCATAACGTTAGTCACCATCTCGTAGGTGAATATATCCGGGTAAAGCAAGTTCCATCCATACCTTCAGTGTAAATCTCCTTGCTAACACCACCGAGTCTAGTATATTTGATAGCTCTGTGACCACCATCAACATTGAAAAGCGCATTATTTCCAACGACCATGATTCCGCCCAATCCAATAAGTGCAGCTACTCCACCTACTATTCCCTTTGGTGCTGGTCCTCCGCCACCACTTCTACCGGCTTCAGTTACCATTCTCTGCAACTTTGCGAACATATCTTGTGGATTATTTGACATGATGGTGGCTTTCGAGAAGTCGAATACAATATCGATCTGCGAAATTATTGTATTGGGGTTTAAGAGGGTATCTTGATAATGAGGGGAAATATTTTGGAAGCTCCAATGTTCACATCCATCCACGAAAACCGTCCTAGCGTATTTTTAATTTAGCCGCACCCTCTCTCCACACAAGCTTTGACGCCAAGTGAAAGTCGTGAAGCGCGATGGAACTTAATTAAACCTCACTCAAGTACTTATGAATATGAAATTCTGTCCGAGGACGACATATTATTCTGAACAACAACATAAAAATTCGAATTCACTCAAAATAAAGGCATATTTATCAGATCGCCCTTGCCTCCCCTCCCGCAATTACATAAGAAATTTGGATTGTCAGTGCTCATAAGGAAGAGAGCAAGAAGGATTTTAGAGTAGCCAGAAATCACTTCTTCAAAGACTTTCTGTGCCATTTCTCAATTTTGCAGTGACAAAAGAAGTGATCAATCCATTTGCATTCCTTTCTCAACGTCGAATCTTGCAACCAAATTCATCTCAACTTTATCCATCGCCCGTATCCATAGTTTGGAACATATATTATCTCTTTCAATATGTCAAAACCACCTTCCAAATCTGTGTTTGTTGGAAATATCCCATACGGTAATTTATATTCCTTTTTTTGGCCCTCGTCGTTGCTCTGCCGTACCAAGCTAATCTTCTTCATATGAAAAGGCCTTACCGAGGAACAGATAGTAGATATCTTCAGTAGTGCGGGAAACGTTATAAACTTTCGACTTGTCTATGATCGTGAAACAGGCAGGCCCAAAGGCTTCGGTTTCGCAGAATATCCCGATTCAGGTATGTGCAGCACACGGCATATCCATTTCACGCCTTGCGCATCCATGGTTACACTGCTAACAAATTTGCGCGCCCATTCAGATTCTGCGTCTTCTGCAGTAAGGAATTTGAATGACTACGAAATTATGAATCGAAAATTGCGCGTTGACTTTTCGAATGATGGTGGTGAAGAAGAAAGTGTATGTTGAGCTTCTGTTCTACCAGGAATCAATTTTTTTATAAAGTGAGTGCTAATTTGTTATCTATACAGTCTGCGCCAACCTATCAACCTCCTCCTCTACCTACGAATGGCCTCCCCGTTCCACCTCCGTCTCTCCCAATCCCTCAAACCTCAAACCCATCCTCGTTACCACCTCTCCCAATAGGCATTGAACTACCTCAAGGCCTCACCTGTCCCGACGCCATTTCCCGCACTCTCAACACCCTCCCCCCATCTCAACTCCTCGACGTCCTCTCCCAAATGAAAACCCTCGCCTCCACCGACCCCCAAAAAGCCACCGAGCTTCTCCATCAAGCCCCCCAACTTTCCTACGCCATCTTTCAAGCCCTTCTCCTAATGGGTCTCGTCCAACCCGAAGCCCTTACCTCTGTCATCGAGTCGTCTGTTGCCGCACCCTCGTCCGCTCCCCCCGTTTCAAATATTCCTCTACCTATTGCGCCAACTCCACAATATGGAGGCTCGGCATATCCGCCTGGATACCCACCACCGCCTCCACATATGTCAGGTCAATTGGGTATGTCCATGATGGGTACGCCGCCAGTACAAGGATATGCGCCACCTCCTCCCCAACAAAGACAAGCTCCACCACCACCAGTTCAGGCAGCAGAACCAGATACAAATGCATTGATGGCACAAGTCATGGCCATGCCGCAGGAGTTGATTGATAGCTTGCCACCTGCTGATAGGGCACAGTTGATGGCGCTAAAAGCACAGTTTCGTGGATAGGTGGAAGGGATGCATTCAGTTAGGAAAGTAAATTTCGTATGATTTTTCACGTTAGGCTACTTCAATGTAATCTGTGATTTAGACGTCAGGCGTTGATAGGTAATTGGGAAAAGGAACTACCAATTAAGCAGACCCATCAAGGAAATGTAAATTGAATTATTGATTCCATATTTATATTTCAGTTCAATCTTAGAACGATTCATCATTTTGCATGGTTAAATAGCGTGATGTCAAAGTGATTTCGTGCCCTCCATAATCTAATATTTCTGCCATCCGACCTCTTCCAATCTTCCCTTCTTCCCTACCACTTCATCCTCCATTGTCTTCATGTACTCTTCCATCTTCCTGAACACCACACTATCACTTACCCCTATTATCCTAGCGGCCAGTAGCGCTGCGTTGACACTGTTATTAATCGCAACAGTTGCGACAGGTACTCCTCTCGGCATTTGTACTATGCTCAGGAGACTATCCATTCCATCTAATGTACTACCCTTCACTGGTACACCAATAACAGGGAGTGGGGTTTGCGCAGCTATCATACCAGGTAAGTGAGCAGCTCCACCCGCAGCAGCTATGATGACTTTGAAGCCATTGGAAGCGGCGTTGCGCGCAAACTCGGCCATGAGTTGTGGTGTACGATGTGCGGATGTTATAGTGAGGAAATAGGGGATTTCTAGAGAATCAAGTATAGCCAGACCAGGCTTCAGGATGGGAAGGTCTGAGTCTGAGCCCATTGTTATGGCGACAAGCTTTTGTGGAGAGGATGGAGACGAGATTGTGGTAGATGTGGACTTGGGGAGACCTTTACGCTCGGCGCGCATGTTGTCGTTTAGGATAATCAGAGGAGAGATGAGTTGTTCTGCGTGAGCCATAGAGCTGCCAATGACAGTGATATGACCGATTTTGCGGGCTGGTTTGGATTCTTTTCCGTACATATGGAGGTTTGCTGTGGGGATTGCGGCGGCTTGTTGCATCAATTCTTTATGGGAATCTTTTGATGCGCCACCGAGGATGTTGAGCATGATGGTCGCGGGAAACATCGAAGGAATGGTCGAGTTGGGGAAGCTTGGCATGATTCCTAATATCGACAAGAGCTGAGATTTATACTGTGACATTGTCGGGCATGCTTCGATTGTGTAATGCCCCGAGCTTCAGCAAAGTAAATGTCAGTGCTTCTTCCCTTTCATCTTTGAGGTATGCAAGTTAAGGCACTTACTTATGAGGTCGAGGAGCAATCTCATTGACTAGTAGTTGTCCATTTTCCATAACAAACAATTCAACTCCAAACACACCTTTCCCCCAAAGACTTCCCACTGCCTTCCGTGCCAAAGCTTGTGCTTTCTTTTGGAGTTCGTTGGAAATTCCTCTTGCTGGGGCATAGACTAACTTGCATATGCTATCTTCGTGAATTGTCTCGACGACGGGGTATGCGACCGTAGAGTCTCCATCCTGGGAAACTTCATTTTCTGTCTTCACAACCATCACCGCAAGCTCCACTTTGAAATTTGCCCATTTCTCAGCATATAACGATCTACCCTTCAACACTTCAAGGGCGTTCTTGATATCGGATTCTGACTTCACAGGACAATTACCTCGTCCATCATAGGCGTCTTTCCTTGCCTTCAGCATGAAAGGGTACCCGTGTGTGCGCCCGAATTCCTCAAGGTTTCCAGCCTCTACCGCTTGTGATGTCGCGATCTGTACTCCGGCTCTTATGAGGTGCTCCTTCTGCAGATATTTGTCCTGGATGACTCGCAATGTCTTCCAGCCTGGATCTAAGTTAATATTGTTCCATTATGGGCAATCAGGGGTTAGAGGAATGAAGCGATTCCAAAGCTTCAATCAATAATTGCACAATGAAAGTCAAACTGAACACTTACTGGGTTGCACTTCAACCCCAGCATTGGCGAGCTCTTCCAAAACGTATGTATCCACATGTTCAATCTCCACTGTCAAAACATCAACTTTCTTTGCAAGTTCTCGGATTTTCTGTGCATCGATGAAAGAGCCATCGAAATGGTCGTTCTTCGCATTGACTTGTTTGGCTGGGGAGTTCGGTGCATCGAGGATAACAACCTTAACACCAAGCGGATTCGCAGCTTCGCAGAGCATCTGCCCCAGTTGTCCTCCCCCTAATAGTCCTATAGTTTTCTCCATGATGTCGAATGGTGGGGGTGATTGATGATCGCGGGGTATTGAATCAAAAGAAAAATTTGGGTTGGGGTACCTTATACAGCCGGCAGAATACACGCTCATTGGTTCACCGCTTCCCCTTGTCACAGGCGGTGAGAATATGAATATCCGAAATGTCAACTTCAAACTTCAACGACCCGAATTGTATTATCCCTCGTTCAAGCGTCTTCTTCATGTTAATACCCTGGAATGGCCAGTATTGACTTGAATTGCTGTATCGATAGTGAAACTTGCAAAAAATGGTTCGGCGATTCGAAGTTGAATACGTTCTATCATAAAACTACAGAAATCGTTGTGATCAAGTGATGCGTACGTCGTGTGAATGTTTGTGTAGCTATCTGCTACCGGTACTAGGGTGTTTGCCAGATGAGCCGGCACTTACTCTATGAGATTCTTGACGTTCGGGATGACGTAGCGATCGCTGATGGAAGAGGCAAATGTCCGTTTCCTCGGGGTGGGATCCAGCGAATTCCTGCTTGGACGAAATACCTCCACCACATTCGAGCGTCAAGGGAATGGGGTCGGCCGACGAGCCCACATCCTAAAGTGCTGGAGTATCTCAAATTCAAACTAAGCTTGCAATTTTTATGCACTGAAGATCCTCGTTTTCAGATATCGGTCGAGGTTATCACACACAAGATGATACATTATCCGTGCGAATACACTTCATCAACCAAGGAGTTGATGTTTCTTATAGAGTTATGGATCAGTCGCAGGGAGGGTTCAGCCTTCCGCATATGAAGAATCTTCGAAATTGAAATCATTGTAAACCGAGAAATTTCTTTTGTTCTTCAAGTGTATTAGCGAGGTCATGACGGGAAACAAACAATCTCAGAAAGAGGTTATCGAATATTTTTATGCTTAGGACTATGCTATCCAATACTACAGGGCCACACCATTGAAGTATACAAGGCTCTTTACAGAGTTGTCATGTACGGAGAAGATGGCCATACAATATGATGATTCCGATGTAATATTCACATATAACTCTCTGGGAGTCATTTCATACAAATCAAACATGCCACTTGTTATCCTTGAATCATAATCCTCTTCTCAAGTTCGTCTATAAATACTTCCTTCTCTGGATAACTTCCCCCTATCTTTAAGCTCTTTTGGATGTTCTTTAACGATTCTCCAACATTTCAGTCATCTACCTATAATTCAAACCGTAGCTTCATATAACATGAAATTCCGTAACGACAGCTTCGCCTTCGTGTTTTCAAACAAGCCCCCGGAGGCTGGTGAAGCATTATTGTCTTCAAAAGCTGGCGATTTTCTGATGTATGGCAAATGCTCAGTTTTTAGCAAAGTCTCAATGACCAAGTCAGACGTCAAGGTAGCATCTGAGGGATACATGATGTTATTGAAAGATTCATTGCCTGATGAAGACCCAATCACTACTCAAGACACAACTACTGCGTTTCCTACGCAGCGTACTCGTATGGCAAAACCTCCGCTGCCTGCTTTGGCCAAAGAAGTTCTATGGTATGGCCACGAGAAGAGGTTTAATGAATCTCACAACATTCCATATTCTCCATTCATCGCAAGGCACCAACGATTATCCGCGTCGATTGATAACAGCAATTTCAACAACATGCCTCCTCTCCCTAAATCTTCTTTTTCCTTGTGGGTTGAAAGGGACTTACAGGATGCAAAACACAGAAACATCTCGCAGCTAGTTTGCAACCAAATCAAAATATTTGATATTGCTCATGGAAATTACGACAAGTCTATGATGCGACGTCAATTTGAGGGATCGAACTGGTTTAACGAATCATACGACGATGCTGTCATTGACTATTACGATGCTCGGAAGGATCAAAAAGAATTGGATAGCCTCAGAGCGCGGGCCTGGACAGCTGGAGCTCGTTGGAGACACGCAGAATTATCAGAATATTAGTTGGGAATATACGTTATTTGAAGTTTTGCTTGCCCCGAGATGTTGCTTGATGGTACCAGCAATGCGTTGATGTTGACGCAGGTCTTTTGTTATTTATATTCTATATATTTGATTCACAGTGAATAAGAGATAACTTATGTTACACTGTTGTCTAGGTGATACTAGAAACCCTTCACTTTAACAATCCCCTTCGAAAGAATTTCTCATGTACATAAGTACCTTCGAACAAACAACACACCCTCGAACTTCCACATCTTTAACAGCGATCATGTTCCTCAGTAATACAGAGTCTAAATGCTGCACTCCTACGTCTATTACCTCGCCTTCGATCCCGACCTCGACGACAAGCAATTATCCTCGGGCAGTACGCGCCCTCACAAGTCGTTATACGGAAAAGGCCGCAAAGATGGGTATCGGCATGGAATGGATCGACCAAAAGGTATTGGAGGATGTGGAGATAGTGAGAAAGGAATACATGTCGACAGGCAAAGGAGAACCGTCCGATGAGTTTATTGTCTGGTTTTATGATGTTCAGGAATATGATAGAGGTTTTTGCTAGGTTTGCTAGGTTCGATGGTTTGGCCAAGACGTCGTCATGAGAACCAACATGGCATTGCCGATTCGGATACTAGTTGGGTAGGAAGGAAATGGTTTATCTCTTTGGCGTATGCAAATCAGGATGTTACAAAATTTGAGACATTCAAAAAATTTATAGTCCATCGGAGATGTGAATGTGTTTCCATCTTGAGTTATTTTCAACTCATATCATTCAAAAGGCACAATGCTAAGCATGGATTCTCCTCTGATAATTTCAGTGAAATAAGGAGCCTTGATTCACGGTCAAGTGGCCTGATTTATTATTCAAGACGGGTGCCAACAAACTTTCGAGGATTTGGCAATTTTTCCCAGGCTATAAGCCTTCATTCTCAATGCCAAATCCTCTGATATTAGTAGTACATCTTACTGAACCAGTACAACAAAACTAAACCTTCCACTTCAAATCGTCGTACTTATCCCTCAGAGCTCGAGCTCTACCGGCTCGCTTATACACCAGCGTGTTATCCCTTACCTAACCCCTCATCAGACATGCATAGTCCAACTACGAACTCCTCTATGAACCTCCCAAAACTCTTACCCGAAAATCCCCTCCCAACTTACTTGACCCATGATTCGCCTACGCCCCCGAAAAGTAGTATCAATCAAGCGACTGAGGCCGAAATCACCAAACAATCCCCAGTTCCCAACCCATCTAGTAGAGACAAATGTCTAGAAGCTTCTAGTACAGCACCAGCATATACCTCCTTCAGCGCCCTCGGCTTGCAAGAACCCGAAGGTCCAAAAAGCCTCGAAGTTACGAGTGAGGAAGACTCGTCTTCTTCCTCTCCTCGTACAGCCCTGCAAAAGGTTAAGAGTGCATTGGTCTTGAGCTTGGGCTTGGAATCAAATCAAAAGTAAGGGTATCTTGTGCTTTGCGATTTTTGGTATGAATATGAAATACATATCTATTATAGAAGTTCCATGTGCTGATATGTAAATAGGAGGTTGCGATACTTGCGGAGATTGTGTGTGAGGGTATATTGTGTAATAAATGAGGCGAGATTCTTTGAGAAGTTGAAGTCGTGGGGGAGGGTGGTGGTGATGTTTTAAGCGGTCTGGTTCGGTATAGAGGTCTTTGAGTCCAATATAAGAATTGATGTTGTGCCTGCCATCACTTCCTTTTTGGAATGAATTGTGAAGTCTTAGGGTGGCCTATTTTATCTGTTGAGTATTCACTTTTCAAATCCGCACGTTCTTCACATTGACTGGAACTTTCAATTTCTATGACTGTGCATTATTGCTGTCGAATCTCAAGTCACATTTTGACAGTCAAACGTGACTTGATGATTCGAAACATTAAAGACAGTCACAGGCATAATGGCTTCCCAAGTCATATATTGCCTCAAGTATCTTCATTGTCGAGGTTCTAACCATTGTCATTCGTCAATATTCTCGATCAAACCCGATCAGAACAACGCAACCATCGTTCCAGTTCAAAATAATCAAAGATTTACGACTTCACAAGCACACACTTACCATCTACGAGAAAGTACTTACTTACTTACACTCACGATGCGTTTCGCTCAACACCCATCTAATATTTCACATCAACTTAAACGCCATGAAGCAGCCCTCATGTATCACCAACAAAAGTCCTTTCCACCACCAGACCTCCGATTGTCAATCGGTAATGTGTTTCAAGATGGGACCACAAAATTGCCAGTGATGCAGCTTCCCGAACATCATCTTGCCCGACTCCAAGAAGTTAGAGCACAAAGGCTTGTTAATTTCTCATTTCCAACGAATGAGAACCAGAGGGCTCAAGAGGGCGAACGAATTACAGTAAAGAAAATGATTGGAGAGGGCTGACTGGTTGGAAATGTTGTTCTACGCAAAATATCGACATCATTCCTGAACACCCGCAAACTTCTACAAAAACACTTTCGAAATTTCACCACCTACGTTTCTTCCGACAAGTCGTCCGACGAAGAGATCAAATATGAAGACGACGCCGATATCAACGGGGCAGCCGATATCGCAACCAAGCCCAAGTCAACTTCTCCGATTACCATCAATGATTCCAACTGGCCTTTGCGTTCACCCAGAGAATCGTTTCTTGGCTTCTTATTCATCAGCCTGTTCATCAGTCTGGTGCGGAGTACGGTGTCGACTATCCCGCAAATAGCACGCCGGTGATAAAAGACAACAGGAAGGAGTCATTTTCTTATAAACTGGGAATAAAGAAGATAAGCGAGGATGTTGTGGAGGAGACGTGGATTTAGGGGGACTTCTTGAGAAATAGCCGATTGATGTACAGTAGTTGAGGAAGAGAAGCAAGTGGAAGTGAAAAGTGAAAGGGGTAAAGTGGATGTTGTAAAGCTTCGAGACATGCTGTTGACGAGGGTATAATGCTTAGGTAGTTACGCTTGAGATGGTTCTGAGAGAGATTTCCGTGATTGGTAGCAATTTCATAACCCGTAAATCATATATTTTTATCCAATCTACTTTGAGGTTTAACCTTTATGAAATTGTCCTCTCAATGATGTTAGAATGACGACTCGTTTTTGACTCAAACTCGGTAATGCCAAGTCATAATTTTCAACTTGAATCAGTGCAGTAATGTGTCATAGATCCCCAAAACAGAAGGGAAACAAATGATTCATAGGACTTATTGCCACAATATTACAGAGTGCCTCCACCCTGTCTATTTCTCGAGTTCTTCAGAAACAATCCGTCTAAACCAGCAACGCTTTGTCAATACATAATTTGCAGATTTATTACTCCATACATCTAACTTTAACCCTACACCACCTTTCATAATAGACACCATGGACTCTGCAGAATCTGAATGGTCTAAAGAGAAACCTTCACCTGATACTTCTTACCTTACCAGAATGGATAAGTTGGAAGAGGTCTACCTCAATGACCCCGAAAATGACAACGAAGATATATATAGCGAAGTAGTACAAGCCTCCACTCCATGGGCTCATGAGTCAAAAGCGACGATTACAGCACCTAGACAAGCATATTTTCCTGATAAGAAGAAATCTCTTCCCGGCTTCAAATCCCAGATCACCGGTACTACGAACTCTGCAGAACCTGACTTGCCCAACGAACAGATTCCTTCTCTTTATACTCCTACCCATATCGGAAAAAATAAGTCAGAAGCGCTCGACAAAACCAAGAATAATGGCCGCGATTCCAGCGACAAAGCAGCACTAACCTCTACTTGGTGGTCTAACCGATGGTCTACTCGATGGGCCCACGCATTCGGAGCTACGAATCCAGTACCCAACCAACACGACGAAAGCAGCCTTGAAAACCCAGAAAACTTACACTCGCCTCAAAAAGGAGTTTCCAATCAAACCCTCACCGATCACGACCATAACACCAGTCTCACCGGAAGAAAAGGGAACAACGGTTTTGACAAAACAAAAACACTACTCGCCAGCCACCTCCGAGACCGCATCGCCTGCATGAACGGGAATAAATGTCGTACCGATACTCAGAGCAGTTACAGTGAGGATCTCACACAAGACTCTGCACAAATATATGAAGAAGGAGCAGAAGCCTTCATCGCATGGGCCAAGAAACTAATTCTCGAATCCGAAGGACCGAACCGACGAGTCGACGACTGGATGATCATGGGATTTATCGACGCCACATTTTTGCAGGCGGAAATTGGGGAGAAAAAACCGCGTTTGTATGGGGAATGGGATTATTTGTGGGCGATGGAGAGGGATGATGTTGTGGGGGATGAAACACGTGTTTTTGGGGAGGGGGCTCGAAGTTCTGGTTTGAGGTCGAGTAGGGGTAGGAATTATTTGTGGTTTTTGGGTTCAGGATGCCAGTATGTGATACCTAGTGTTGAGGATTGGAAATGGTGGTTTGGGGAGTGGAGGAAAGTGCCGGGGTTTATTTGGGAGTGGAAACCGAGAGAGGAGGTTTGGCCGTGGCAACGGAGATATTGTCTGAAAATCGTGTGTTGAAGGAGAATTTGAGTTCTAAGAAGGGACAAACTGAAGGAGTGAAAGAGTGAAAATAAAATCATCGTTGCACTTTTTGTAGGTGAATTCTTTTGGTGGGTCTGTTCAAGCAAGAAGGGAGTGGTATTGAAAATACACTTTTTCTACCATGCCACTTTTTAACCTGTTACATTGGATTTTACAATATTTATGTATTATAAACCCTTTCTTATCGGGTAAATTATGCACAAAAAGGATCACAAATACAACATGGAACGATTTTGAAGCTGCACATAGAGAAATGTAGGAAAATCCAACGCAATAAATCTATAATACAATCAGACAGCTCAGCGAACTGTAATTTTCACGTAACACATCATCCATCACTCCCGTCCAACTCCAGAAGACCCACGACGTCTCTTAGCCTCAGAGTTCTCCTCAATCTCCCTTTGAGGAGTTTCTCTGAGGACGAGCGTTCTCATTTGATGGCCCTCTCCTGACACTCTATCACCATCTCGTACAGGTAATCCCTGATCGTTTCGTGCGCGTTTCTTCTTTTTACGAAAAATAAGTGCACCAGAAGACCCAACAACCGGCCTTGATTCCACATTCATGTTCACCGACCGCCAACCCCCTTTCTCCTGTTCCTGTTCCTGTTCCTGTTCCTTGGTAATATTACCCGAAGGTCCAGGCGAATGAGCAGGTTCAACACGCGAAATCCACTCCAAGGTTCTCTCTTTAAGATGTCGAGGCATAGGCTGAGGAGAAGGCGATAGATAAACCTCGGAGCAATTTGCAGAAGACATGCAGTCAGAGCAGTCGGTGGTGTCCTCGTCGTAAGATTCATAACGCAAGTCGGTGCTGGATATGGATGGGGGGCGAGTTATAGGATCTACTCGCTGTGTGATGTTTATTGGGGGAGGCGCCCTGGCGGAAGAGGTCGTGGCTTGTGCGGGGTGAGTGCGTGGAGGTTGAAAAGACATCGATGTTTGATATTGTGGAGGCTCAGACGGTTCCGTGCATTGTAATGGGGTGGAGTAGGTTGTTGCTGGCACAAGGTGTGAAGCTGGAACATTGCCCGTAGATGTAGAGGATGCGATGTTTCTCGACCGATTCGTGTTGGAAAACCGTGGGTTTCCAGAGTGGAATTCAATCTTCTTGCGAGATTGATCCATGGTTATGCTGAGTTATCAACAAATAGACATATTTTAAAGGTCAAAAGAATCTTGTAGTGAAATTTTGATCAACTTAAGTACGTAATTTGTTTCTGGTTCTACTATTTCTTGTTCTTTCCTTCCCAGGAGACCTCGAAGTTTAAATTTGCAAACATCATGCTCTAACGACATGACATAGAGCACCAACAAACAGCTCATCAATAGCATCGTTCTTTCTTCACTTGACAAGAAGAGAAGATAGTCATTTTGATTCTCGATCTCTATTGTAAAACCACTGATTTCCTTTGCTTCAAATACGAATCAACAAAATGCACTCAGAAAAAGACTCCACGTATCTGAAAACTTCACCGAAATGCATTTATTAGCATCATCATCTACCAACGAATACTATATTTAAAATTCTCCTCCATCTAATACCATTAAATACCTCCGACCCCTTGGGCACAAACACCAGCCTCTGATTCTTGAACCAATGAACAAAAAAAGGAGAAAATAAAAAGCCATATATTAAATTCCACCACGCATAAGCGAACCAAGAAATTTCATCAATCCCTCTACATATTCCTTAAAACAAAAATCCCCGACTCTCCCCTCCTCACTCAACAATCAATCTACGTGACAAGCCCTAGAATATATAACACCAAATCCCAATTCCAAGTTGCATTGACCATAAGCTCACGCAGTTCCGTCGGTAAAGGGACATTAGCACACTGCCCTCCCTATTTGTCGTGGAAATGTGCCGCCTGTGCTGGATCTAGCATACCATCTTCACCACCCCATCCCCACTGTTGATTGCTGGAAGGGCCATCATTAGTAGGAATACTAGAACTCGAAACATTTGTATTGCTGGCCAAATGAGACTGTTGACCATTGATAGAACGCCCAAGGTGAGTATTGCCAGCCGAATGAGATGGTTGATCATTGGTATTGGAACGCCCAGGGTTAGTACTCCCAGATAATCCATTTGCAACAGCGGGGTCTCGTGGAATGAAGATTTCGAGGCCTGGTATGCGTTTGTAGTTCGCGTTCGATAGTTCGTCACTTGCTTGGTATGAAGGAGGCTGGGTTGCTTGGGGAGGTTGATTGGGGGGTGGGCGAGATATCATAGGTTGTCGATGTGAAACTGGGGGTGGCAGGCATTGAGAACCATTGTTTGATTGTTGATTACTTGCTTGGTATGGGCGAGGTTGGGCCATCTGGCTACATTGATTGGGGGCATGACTAGAGGCTCCGGATGCTTGTTGATTCTGGGTGGACGAGTGTTGAGAACCACCGGAAGGATCGGTACCACTGCCGAAGTTCTGTTGCACATGATTGTTGTTGCTGCTTGCCATTGTATGTTGATTTTGTGTAGACTGAGTTTGATTTGAAGATGGGAACGTGTTGCTTGTCGGTTGATGTCTTCTCTGGGTCGAAGAGGGTTGTCGCTCATATGCGGTGGCCCTGAAGCCCAAGCTATCTATAGACCCAATAGGTCTAGATATTTGGCTCTTGTCAACTTTCTTCTTCGGAAGCTTCGGAGGTTCAGACATGATTAGCAACGATGTATTTCAAGTCACCGAAGGTATAGATGTCTGTGGATCTCAAGACTACCAAAGAGTAGAATTCGATGAACTCGAGTATATATGTATGTACCTATGTATGTAAAGTTTTATTGCTTCTCTTTCTCGTTCTGCATTCAGGAAAACCTCGAAGCTTAAATGTGATTTGACGAAGCCTATGGCACATTAGCAGTCAAATAAAACATACCAGTCACACAGAAGTCAAGGATTGGCGACCTTCACATTGAATATGGGGTGATTCAGAACATCAATACATAGATAACTCGGAGTTTACCAGTATGATCAATCGACATAATCTTCATTTCTGAGTCATTCTGGCACAATTGGTAGAAAATGTAGAAAACAATCAACAGGTAAGTGAGGACCTGGCTCTTAATTAAGATCCGAATCCAAAGAAAATATGTCCATCAAGAGATATATAATCATCGCACCACTCGGGATATGGGCTGGTACTCGCAGAGATTGTACGTGTCTACGCGTCTCACTGAAGACTTCCTTCACCACTCATATAATGCTTTGCAAAACAAAATTTTCTTCTGGTCTCTGAAACAAAAGTTTCTGCTTGACTATATCATCATGAAGTGGTGGAAAATCTTGCGTTGGCAGAATTCAAGGTGTCAAAACATGTTTCGAGACCTTTGGGACTTTGGGAAATGGTAGCTTTTATTGCTTCCCAACTACCCGCTTTGGGGATAAAGTTGGGAGTTTGGTGTCATCTCCTCTGCGATGACCACGCCCATCCGGAGGAATTATCTCCGGCATTTTCGCTCAGAAAGGTATTCGGTTAAATGTGGATGTGCCGCGCTGGTCATTGTCTACCCTGAATTCTCCTTGTTAATTGTCGATCACTCCCGAACCTCTCAAAATATAGCTCCTCTCAGAATCAGAGGAGATCTCTTAAGAGGTCCATGAGATAGGCCTGATTTGCGGAATGTGGTAAAATCAAAAAAGGTATTGGATACCTATTTTCATTGGCCATTATGGAATCCTTCCATCTCATCACAAGTATATTTTTGTGACACGAGAACATTACTATCCAAAGCAATGCAACAATGACCTCTCTTAACCAGACGTGACGACCCGCGGTAGGTGTAATTTCCTACAATCCTGAATCGTATCTCCATCCGTTGTGTTGTGAAGAACGTAGCTTGGTGGAATAGGAAGTAGAGTAGTCGTCAGACAAGAAAGGCTTCGACTGGGTTGGTCGCTTCACAAAATACTAGGTTCGGCAGCATTATCGTCCTTGGCGAAAATGGGGACTGGATTGCGAGGTCTGTTTCGTTGAAGATGAATCTTTCAGACCAGTTCCATTTCTCCCTTTTCGACATGCTCTTTGATATCCGACCATCTCGCAATCACAACTTCTCCTCTCTCGACATCTTTCATATCGTCCCCATCTCTCCCTCTACCCAAAACGGATATGCTACCACCATCACCAGTGAAATCTTCATAATTTCCTGTACCTCTAGCAAATACAGCTGTATCTTCATCTGGCCCACTGATCATAGAAATACCTCCTGTCTGGTCGTTTAAGTTCTGTAATGCAGCTGGGAAGCTTCCCAAGAAACTCGACAAGTAATGGTTATGTAGTAATTGTTGATGTCTTGTGGCATACGCGATTTCGGTTTCTGATAATCTCGATCGAAGGTTTTCGTCGCTCAAGTAATGTAATGTATGCGCATCAAGCTATAATATACAAGTGAGCATATGCGCTTCTGCGTTGTGGCTCTTTCGTACATACCTTTGCGATTCTAGCCCTTACCAATCCTCTAATTAAGTACTTCCACCTCTCCAACTCCGTCTGTAAACAAATGAGGCCAAAATTGGTTTTAGGATCCATGTCTCCAGTCAATTCCTCAACCTTCTCGATTTGCTTCTTGATTCGTTCTGTAACACGTTCAACCAGATTGTTGGGAGGCCATCTATAACCTCAGTAGTTGTCAGTCCGCCTGTAATCATGGATTTCGCATGACGTTCGAGGTCGTCGAAGGTGGTGAAAAACAGAATAGAACCAACGGTAGAATCTCTGGAGCACCGCGCTCATTAATCCAAGCTCTTGTTAAAGCTTGTAAGTCTGCCTCGGGTGTATTGGAACTTCTTAAACGTAACGCGTCCTCGAAAGGATCATTCAAAAACTCATCAATATCCATGATTAATTGTTCGGGTTTCTATTATTTGTTTGCGCGTGGAGAAAATAAGGCGGTAGTAGGTATGTAAGGTTGAGAAATTGTGCCGATTGATTTGAGAATACCTAGGTTATCTATCCATCTGATAATATCCTCAAGTGCCGAACAAACAGTGGGGTTGGCGCGTCTAGGCGCGTCTCTTTACACTAAAATTGCGGACCTGGGCAATTAAGTGGCTTAAGCGGACCCAGAGATCACGAAGAAGGGATACCAAAACCATAGAACAGTAGAGCAAAATAGAAAAATTAATTATTCTATAGAATCAATAATATATCAATAAGAAAAAAAATGCAAAAAAATTGGTAGCTTCTCTTTGATTGAGCGTGTCATCCTTAGTGCAGGGGCCATGCTAATCTTCTCTGTATCGTTTCAAATTGACCACTAATGAAATTGTTAGTTTGGAGGTTGATTGCGAAAGACGCGGTAATTACTTACAATGCCCGAAGGCGAAGATAAAACCATTACTTTAAAATATATAGTACCACCGCTTGTTTATTTACCAGGCCAACAAAACATCAAAATGCAAATCCCATAATGGCACCGCATCTTCAATATTCCACTCATTTGGTCATCGCAAATGAAGTTCAATCCTGTCGCATTCGCAATCGCAATCAATACCCCCAAAACTGACGATGTATAATTTATTCCTGCAACTGCCCGAGGCAATCCATCTTCTTTCCTTGCCGTGATATTTTGGCACATCGGTACGCACAACTTGTATCGCATCCCATACCGGTATCCTACTGCGATAACCTAGCATCCTTCGAAGGCAGTTTGCGAACGTCCGTATCGTTCTCATTCGACATTCGTATCAGAACGATGGTGTATCGTGATGCTTAGGTTTCTATTATATCAATCTCGGCATTCAAACAGCTTAACTTACATAGAGAAATTGGCAGACTGTACTCCTCACGATTTCCTTTCTTCGTGTGAAGGCCAAATATCATGATGGTATGCTCAGGTAAGGCGTGTTGGTGGAGGCTCTTCCTCCAGCAGTTTGACTTCTTCTCGTGAAAGGTTACTTACTGCTTCGTTGCCCCAGAGTAAGGTCTAACCAATCGTCATATGGCCTTTCCATTCGAACCATTCGAATGCTATCGCCATCTGACAGCCTCGATACTTCATCGGCCTGCGCATATTGAAATTCCTTTGCTTGAATTTAGAAATAAATTGTCCTCATTCTGGATGTGGGGTAGTAACCCCGCGTTAGGGCTAAACGGGGATTGAAGTAATCACACAAGAATGCATATTTTTGGCACAAGCTATTCTTCTATCTTTAAATACCTAGTACATAGCATCTTGTTCTCCTCTGCTCACAAGACTTTTGGAATATAATCAATCATCAATGAAGTTTCATCATTGGTTTAGCCGGTTTGCTACATTTACCACCTGAAGTCTTGGCGGGTCGTGGAGCAAATGGAGGTGAGCAGCTTATCAATGACAATGACAATGACAATGACATAATGTTCGTGAGTGGCTTGGTGAGCATATTGCAAGATGCAATTTGGCGATGGCTTATAGGGAGTGTGATGCAAAGTATTTGAGGAATCATATTACACCTTCTTTACCATGAAGTAATACTCCTGGCTTTGCAAATCATTACAAATATATCAGAATCCCCCCTTCATAAACCATATCATGCAGGTTTCCCTTCTTCCTGTCATCTTGGAACGGCGGCTGCTATCATGCTCGTAAATTCCAATGAATGTAAAATCTTACATCGAGATGAACTAGACAATCCATCAATGCAGTTCACAGCACAGTTCCAATACCAAACCCGCCTATTAGGGAAAGGAATACGTCTTACCGAAAACATGGATCTCGGCCCAGTAGTCCGACCGAAGGGCGCAATTCCTTGAGGCACTCATTGAACAGAGACTACAGATGCTACTGTCACCAAAAATGAACGAGGACTCTCCAAGTAACACAATTATCTCAGCTGTGAAATGGGCGAGATATGAGAACATAAACATGGAGTAAACACAGCTTTATTGCTGGCTCTCGAGGATCACAATCAAGACTACTGTACAAACATGGTTCAACAAACTCATGCGCGCAGATTGGACAAATACGGAACTACCGACGAGGCTCAGGGTGAGTATGAGTGGACTACTGCGGCCTTCACTGAATCATAATTAACACAGATGAGGAGAGAAATTGTAAATATAGTCTTGAGCAGTAGAATTGATGGGTTATGGAAGAAAGTTGGGAAAGTTAATCATGAGCTTGAGCTACCAGCTTCATAACTAAAGTTTCTCTTCCATGCAATGCACGAGTCGAAATGATCGTAACATAGTATCATCTTATCATAAGGCTGGATTTAATTCATAACTTACAGTTGTTTTGGTGTCACATTCTATATCAAACCTTGTGATCAAACATTCTATTCAATTCGATTTGGTTTGGTTGTCTAGCCCTGCGTTCAAAAAACATCTAAATAACTCTCTTTGATTCTGATTTCTTGTTGACTCTCGTAAACTTCACTTACATCTGCATCCTCTTCTCTTCTCCTCCTATCAACTTTCTCCCCAGAGATTAAGTTAACTGGAAATTCCAAAACCTTTCAGAATAACTTACAGTATGACATTGAAAGTTTAAAACAGGATTGAGATTCCAAAGTGTTCTTTTTTATTCTCCGGGAATACCTATACAAATAAAACTCAGAAATGGTTATACAAGTAACACTTGATTCTCCACTCCTCCATAAGAACCTTCAATCTTGAGAGGAGCACATAGGGCGAAAAAGTGGAGTTCATAAGAATATACAGGTGTAGTGTCTGATACACACGCTAATTCACTCGGATCCATCTTCTCTCTCGATATATTTATACTCCAGTACTATATAAAAATAAGATCACTTACTACATATCGATAATTGATCTTGCTCAAAGATTCGCTTTGGGTTTAAAAAACTGATTCAAGAGGAATCTTCTCGGTATGGAAATTAAGCGGGGTTGGATAACAGTTGGAGCTGGGAGAGCTTTAGGTTACTGGGTACACTTCCTGTTGTGGATGGTGGATATATCTCCTCCCTTTTCACTTCACGAGATACGTTTAGATCTGATATCGACAGACAGAGATTATCAAAAGGAGACAATAATGTTTCTCTTTTCTCTCTAATTATGTGATGATAATAAGTCACCACAAAAAAAACGACAACAGTGGATAAGACCTAGAGTTTAAACGGAGAAGATATCAATCTGTAAATCGATTCCAGCGAATCTGATCCGTGAGTACAATGGATATCATTCTATATACAGCCAAGCAGAGTTAACCACATCATTTTCTAGTGCAAACCATGTCTCTCTTTCTCTTACAATGGCGCTCTTTTTTGTTAAGAAAGAAATGAATTGTGTTTGGCGACGAAGGGATGTTTTTATAGAAAATCAAGTGAAAGCGTTTTATGATGCGGTTCGGTTCGATTTGATTAGATAATCTTACATATTTTAAATAGAATACCGGCACCAATTCCTATGCCACGTCCGTCTCTTTAGCTGAGGATTTCGGGTTCGGGTTTTTGCTGCCCTGTAGAACCCCGACCACTTGTGCAGAGCTCACACGCTGTTTCCTGTTTTCTTTTCATCTCTTTGGACTCGAGGACTCTTTTGGAATGAATTTTATATAGCTCGATACAATCTGGCATTTGATGTACCGGTGATTTATAAAGCTAAGTCGTTTTCCTGGAGGGAAAAGGAAAATGGAGAATGGAGATTTGATTATTGATACAATTTGGAGAAAAATTAAGTGAATACATAATGCACTAGCTGCGGGATATTCGGTAGATTGATAGTTAATAGTGTTATTATTCACTTCTTGCAAATAAGTAGTTGGTCGATGTATTGATTTATTATATATAGAATATGTTGATATGGTGGGAGGGGAGTTCAAGCATCGAGCTTCTGAAAGATAAAAGAGAGCCTGAGTGAGATGTGAGCTTTTCGGGAGTGTAAAGCTTTTCGAAGATTTCATATGGCGAGATCGTATCTGATGGGAGATAACAGGTGTTGTTTCAAGTATTATTGTGAGTCACAACTGCGGTGATGCTGGATTATCATACAACGGCTATCGCCCTGGATCGGAGAAGAAGTTCGTACTTACAGCGTCACGCTTGCAGATCTGAAGATGTATTGCTGATCGTAGGCTCCTAGCTCGTATCCAGGGAGTTTTGCAGATGATTAGATCTCCGTAGGGATAGTCAGATTACTGGATCAGGGAGTATATCTGGGATTTCTTTTCGTTGTCAAAATGTCGTTATAAATCGAAGCACTTAGAATGAGGTAGAGTAAAAGCGAATTCGCAATGAGTAGACAGAACCCACGGGAGATATTTGTCCTCGGCTTCGGCCTCCAGTTTCTCGGAAGGTAGAATAGATGTTCATATACGTAAATGCGCTAACGGGTCTTCAATTCAAGTGTTCTTTTAATCTGATACGCACTTGCTCAATCACTGTATGGGGGGATCTGATTGGTTAAACCAAGCCTCTTTTTGTAGTCGACTATCCCAGAAATCAATAGGTAACATATGCAGACGATTTACCATGGAAGAAACTAAAATGAGCAAGAGAGCTTTGAGATGCTACTGCGGGTAGAAGATTTACGCTGGCGGATTTTCACATAGTTAACATAGATGAGAGACGATAATGGTGAGTAGGAGGTGATATATAAGCTGCTAGAAGGCATGTAGATATCTTTTTGGGAATCCTAATTTGTTTGACAGCAGTTCACACGAGTCGATGACATCTCTTAGGGGTTAACGAGATTAGCGAAAACAGTACAAAACTCTACAAAATCACAAGTCCTTCGAATGATCATGCTTGAAGTCTGCACTAAATATTTAGATAATAATGTACTATTATATTGAACTCTAGCCTTGCAATGAAATCTCGGTAGATCAAAGGAGGAGAATTGCTTATTCAGCTTTCGCATGACCTGATGAGAGGGCAAAAACATTATGCTTGGCAAGAC